TATTCAGAATCTTAAGATGTGAACAAAATGTTCTCAACATTTCGTTATTAATTTTCCACCACCATTGTAAATTAGTTCTAATCTCTTTTTTTTTTTTAAAATTATATAATAGGTAACAGTATGTGTAATAATTGTCTCTCCACAGCTGAAATTGACTTTATTATCAATCAATGTCACAATAGTGCCATAAATATTTGTACAGTGTCATAGCTCTTAAATGATGTCACAGCAACACATTAGCATTATGTAATACTAAAGAACTGAGGGTCACTAAACAGTTTAGAGACTTTACATTTACTGCACAACTTTTTGGTCCCTTGGAGCCATTTGATACTATTTTCTTCTCCTAATCCACCCATGAATAAAAGAGAAATAATTTTGATATCTGCACCTGAGTTAATCGCACTCGCTGGTCTTGCTTTAAAATCAGTGGAGAAAACCAGCAACTTTCAGACCATTGTTCATCTCATTTTAAAGTGAGTGTCTAAAATAGGTCAGAAGCACTGTACCATGAAAGGTCTTATATCTGTCCCCTGACTAGAAAAGGAGCCTAAAAAGGATACATTACATATAGATGTCTCCAGTGTAGATTTCTAAAGTTAAGTGAGATTAATTCCATTAATACACTTTAAATCTTTATTTTTTTTCTGTATAAAATCCTGGTTACATGTGTCCAAAAGTACAGATAATGCTCCTACGAGCACCAGTGCTCACAGTGCTTGCTTCATCAAACATCCTAAGATTCTGCCAGAGCAGCACAAAACTTTCCCAATATATGTACACTTTAACACTTTGGGTCTCAGACAAAACACCATTGTCTTCAAGGTAATATTTTCTGAAGAAAATTAATTATTAATATCCTCAGACAATGTTATGATAAGAAAGAACAGATTATGTCACATAACTTCAGACATCTAAAAATTACAGATGTAAGACTGAGCCAGTCACTCTAAGTTCCCTTGATAGTAACTCGAAAGAAATTTGCACCTCCAAAGGGCCATCCATCTGACCTACCTTAGATACCAATCTCAGGATGAGAAGCATCATTCCCTTGAGGTGTCCATTTCTCTTCATGGACAATAAAGAAAGAAAAGGGCAAGATAGAGAGATTTAATTTTTTTAAAATGCCAAAATTAATGCAGATAAATCTTAAATCTAGGAGGAAAAACATTAGGCTACTTTATACAGAAAGCCTATAAGAATATATGAGCCAAGGAGCCAAATTAACCTGTGTTCAAAACAGAGAAACAGTACAGATTTTGGTGAATTTTTTAACATTTACTAGGCTCAATATATATTCAGTATAATTGACCACTCAAGAAAACTCAGAACACTGTAAATAAAAAGAACTTCTGCTCAAACACAGAAATAAAGTACACATATTTCATATAAAACCACATATTTCATATTTAATGATATGAATATTTTAAGAGTTCAGACTTAAAAAAATTTGATAGGCTCAGTTTACCTGCACTTTTAGAGTAATAAATTAACCCTTTTGATACTGGTGTCATACCTATAGAAAAGATTAGAGTCAACCCCCTCCCTCTATGTAGGAGACTTTTGATAAAGAGTCCCAAGATTAAAGCCAAATGCAGAACCTGGCCTACAATGAGTACATGTTCAGGGAAATTTCTTTTGTTTTATTCCAGATTTCCATCGTTCTAATTTGCTAAATTGGGCATGAAGTGGTTGGGTTATTTTGGCAATACTACCTTAAACATAAACATCACACCTTTATATAAAGTGTAATGAAATAAAAGCATTCTAGTAATAACAAACAATCCTCATATAGTGATATTTAAAAATCTACAATAAAGGATGATGCATGGAGAAAAAAGAAGGAAGATTTCTTATATTCTTCAGCTGGATGTTGCATAAGGTCAGGTTGGATGGGGCTTTGAGCAACCTGTTTTATTTGAAGATGTCCCTGCTCATTCCATGGGGGTTAGACTAGATGATCTCTAAAGGTCCCTTCCAGACTGTTCTGTGATTCTATGATTCGGTAAGTTAATATTTTCATAAATGTGTATGATTTTCTGTAGAGCAAACATATGCAATATCTGTCCTGAAGTCCATAGGAACATTAAAAAAATTGTTTTATGTCAGGCTTTCAAATGGTCTTGGTGTAATGAGACTGCTTTCTACACAGGTTGCACTACAGGTCTTTCCTCGCTCATTCTGGTCATATACTGACTTATTTGTACAATGCAAATAGTGTATCTGATATTTCACTGAAAAGAGACAGGATTTACTATGGTCAGGCATGAGAAAGGCTCACAGGACAGGAAAGAAGGGACACAGGAATAAGCAAGCACTAGAGAGTGGGAGAGCATCAGGGTAAAGCCAAAGACAGACCTCTGATGTGCAAAGGCACATCAGCTGAAGTACAAGACTAGTATCATCAATGCCTCAATGCATCAAAAACGTCAATATAATTTCATTTTAAAATACATTTAACTACATTTAGAATTATGATATAAATGTAATACCAACAACTTACATTGAAAAAAAATTTTCTTTTTAGTCCATTTAGATTTTACACTTTTATGTGATAGAAAGTTAATACTCTAAGAAGTTATTGAAAATACCATAGAATCATCTTTTTTAAAACTGTATTAGATAGGGAAAACATCTACAAAATTTTTCCCCCAGCCAAGTCATCTAAGAATTTATTTTAAAACTCCAGTGAACCCAACTCTGTTGGGTTGGAACCCAACTTGTTAGCAAAAAGCTACCCACAGTATATGGCCTAATGCATTGACAAAGGACAGAAAGAAAAGACTTTATCAAGACCTGGAACATATAGACTAAAGGAGATACAATATTACACTATGATTTCTGAGCACTGTAGGGACACTGGAACTGCACACAATACGAAAAAGATGATGCAAGACTCTATTTTGTTCGAGTTTATCAAAAGTTATATCAATGCTAACTAAATGAGACTATGAGTAAAATTTTCCATAGTGATAATCTTATTTCATTCTTTTTAAGTGTCCACAGGGGACATTAGAAGGAGAACACCAGGTCAGATAAGCCACAAGGCGGATACATTATAGTCATTTTAATGGTGTAATAAAGAAGACAGAGTTATGATCCAAAAGGTAGGAACTGAGCACAGAATTCCCCAGTCCAGATTGGTGCAGGAGCTGAACAGAGCAAGAGAAAGAAACCTAAAGGAAAGCAAGGATAAAGGAAATATTTGGAAAACATATCTACAGTAGACAGCTTAGAATTTAATTTTCAACATAGCACAAGTACCATTTATATGTAAAATGTGGGTTTTTTCTTACACAAGACTTAAAAGAATTCAACTACAACATTATTTCCATTTCACAAGTATCATGGCTTTCATGAATATTTCTTTTACTTTTTACAAAGTTATTGTATTCAACAGAATGGTCAATGGTCTCTCATAGTGAATAAGCACACAAAAGTTGTAGATTCAGGCTCCACACCTGGATGAATTGTTCAGCAAAATGCAGCTGGACTGTGGAAACCAGTTCTGTTAAATTCAGTGGGTGTCCCCCAAAGAAAGTAGCTGGGAACTACTTATTTTACTCATAACGCTTTCTTTAATTTCATCCTTCCTGTGCACCACTGAATCCAACAGGCCTCACAAACAACTTCCTATAATGTAGAAGAATTAATGAGAAAATGAAGTCAATGTACTGGATTAATGCTTTCCAAAGTCACAGGCCATTAAGTAGGTGCCCAGAACAATTTTCATACATGTTCTCTAATCATCAAAAGGTCCTTAGTACCTAAAAAATTACCTCAAGCACGATTTATTAATGCTTATCATTAACTTACTGCTATTGCATTCATTTTTTTGGACAGAAAGTTGCTGCCAATCAGTCTTAAAATAAGCTTAAAAATCTTCCTACTTTTATTAATATCAGTTAAACTGCTTATGATATTTGATGGCAGGTTTTGACTCTGAAATTAGAAAAACATTGGATGATGATATACCAGTAAGCACAAGACACAACTATAATGACAGGATTTGTTACTGTAAATGCTGGGGTATACTATCAAACAGAAAAATTCAGGGTGAGAGCTTATGAAGGAAAGATTTTAAGCATATTCTTCTCTTAAGTAATGTACTTTATTAAAAGTAATACATGTTTCTTATGATCATTGTAGAGGAAGTTATTCTCTAAAGGAATTTGAATACGTAAGAGCTGATGGTTAAAGACTTGCTGACACTGGAGAAAATCCGAACGTAAGGATTGGATGAAAAAATAGTAAGGACACTAGTACAAGAATGGACTGAATTGCATATGAAGGTTAGAGCAGAAAATTGGGGGCAATTAGTCTGGAACACTGCAGAGAGGCCATTGTGCCTGGCTAGGACGTTTGCTGAGACTGCAAATCACATATTTATTTATTTCTGCTGAACTAGCCCTCTAAGTAATAAAGTGCTACAAGGGCACAGACCAAGAACAGTAACATAATTCATGTGAAATTAAGTCACAGCAACCAGCTTATAGATAAATGGATAAAGAGGTACGTATTCTTCTGGCATAAATTGTGTGTAACGTCATTGCAGTCAATGGAATTGTGTCATTTTACATCAGGAGAAAATTTGTTCTACAACACAAGCAATAGTTTTGACAGTTATGTCCCATTTTCAGAAAAATCCCATTTGCAGCTTCTCGTTGATCTGTCCAGTAGTTCTGTCAAACGGTTAGAAAGGTCCTCCAAGAACTATAAAGGAAATCAATTTCCCTGGTGGTGATATCTGAAGACGAAGGTACGGAATGAAATTCTGACACTTTTTACACCTGGAAATTTCACTGAGCTCAGCAGTATCCTTTTATGACACACAAATTTGGTACATTGTTTCCTACAGTTTCTTGCCATTAAAATATCTGAATATTTGAGTATAATAATGATAATATGTGTATATTAATAAACATAATATCTCATAAATATAGATTATTGACAACAGCAGCACTGACATTTCCTCTATATATAGTTTGATCAGTAAAGGAATGAGCTGAGACAACTTGTCCAGATTGAACATTTAAACGGTTTTATTCTTTAAAGAAATTTCTATTTGTTTTCTTTAGGCATTTAGAAATTATTTTGTAGTTTACAGGAGTGATAATTCTTTATTTCAAAAATTCCAGAGATCCCCAAACACTCAAAAATTGAAATACTTGGCTCTGTACAGACATTGCAATTCTTTCATGCTCACATTTTGCTAATATTTGTTTCTTTTTGTTATCATTTTTTGTTGTTGTTCATCCTGGTATTTCGCAGGTAAAGAAAAAAGTTAAATCTCTTTGAGAAGACAAATGGATCTAAGAAGATAAACCTTACTTTTTATTCTAGAATATTTCCATATTTTTATTCATATATCTGACAAGTCATGGAATCCAACAGGAAAACAGAAATGCCTTTTACTAAAAGGGAAAGCTTTGTTCCAGAACGTATTAGTAATTTTCTAAATATTGTTACATATCTCTTCATGATCTTTCAACAAGCTACATGGACTTCTGAGAGTCTCTTACACTCTTTAAATTTCTTCTTTAGTCTGCTTAAACACAGATGAAACAGAAAGAGAATAAGAAAGTGTTATTTGCAGTGCTACTTGGATCACAGACAGATACTTACACTTGTGACAAGCACCTTTTCATCTTTTAGAAAACATGACATCTGTCCATACACTGACGTGTAACATTAATGACAGGATAACAGCTTACATTGGAGGTCTGGGGAAATTTGAAACTTAAAAAAAAAATGTAGCCTGCAGTGCTGAAGAATTCACACTAAATTTAGACTGTATACTAGTGATCTGCTATAAATATATTTTGGTGTGTCACTGTCACATTAGGCTACATCTGCAAAAGGACTTGTACACCTAGCACCGACACTGTGGCTTTACTATGTCGCTCAGAAGCCTTCTGGACTGCCCTGTTCATCTATAGGACACTGAAGACCTTTATTCCCTGTCTAGTGATCTCCATAATAGAGATTCTGATACTACTGTACTCCTTTATGCTTATACCCTGGTAAGGCTGTAAAAGGGCTGGCCTCACCAGGGACTTCCAGTATGGTCAACTCTCTTACCTGTTTGAACAGCATCACACAAAACACCTTTATCCAGTCCCTTAGTAGTCTCCTGGGACAGACTGAGAACTGAATGCTCACCTCTAACACTGGCCTCCTTTGAGACGACTACTCTATTCCTATGTTAAGAGTGGTTAGGACTCCTCTGCAGACTTTCCTATTGTTCAGTTTTTATTTGTCAGGTTTTGCATAGCAGTGTGCAAAAGTGGTGCATGGGGGTCTTATAGAAAAGAATTCTTGTGTCAAAGAAACAGGCATGTCTTCTTGAGTAAGGGTTTGATACCTTTCTCTATCCTCAGTTTTCAAAGAGCTTTACTATTTCATGTGAATCCCTAACTGGCTTGTAAGTTTCTGTGACACCTCTCTTTCCCCATGCATTGAAAAAAATGGAGAAAACACAATTTGTCTGCAGAGATCTTAGAAATTAGGTATTGCAGTACTTAGATTCTTCTTTGGATCCTTATAAACCTCCCTGATGACCTGGAAAAGAACAAAATTGTACTGCATTGATATCCTGCACAGCATCTGAATTTCAACATATTGCTACACACATAGAGATGCAGATTCAAGGTATTCATTTCTGATGGCCTCACATCCACATGGAGAGGTAGGTGAAATGTCATAGCTGTTCAGAAAAACTTTCTCTATCAGTGACTAATGCAACGGTATTTGTAAATACTAAAGGACTTTATTTCAAATCCTTTTCAAGTTAATGATAGTTTTCAAAGTATTAAATTGAATTCACCCTCTTGAAAGGTGACAAAACCAGTGAAGTTTCACCAGGTAGGTAAGTGATTTGGTAGCAACAACTTTTATCTATTTTTCATTTATATCAAAGGATCCAATCTCCTTTATAAACAAAGGAAAGAGTTCAAAAACCAGTGAAATGCAATCGCCCAGAGATGACATGCAGCAGATTTCCTCTTCTCCTTTTTTTTTTTTTTCAAATTTAAATTTACATAAAGCACTGGCAGTGGAAAAGAATCTATGAGGTGAGATAAATTGTCTGCAATTGATTTTTTTTTAATTCCCCTGAACACAGCAAAACACATCGTGAAGTTTCAGGGTGAACTACAGACAAAGTTTTAAAAAAGAGGAAGGCTAAATTAGGCCCTTAACACATACACAAAGTTATGAGAAAAATTAGTTACAAAAACACTGATCACTAGCTGTCTCAGCTAGGCTGAGAGCTGCTTGATAAGCAATTTATTTGGGTAGGGATATGTGACTGTTACTGACAGAGGTATACGCAAGGGAAGAAAAGGTGTTCTCCCAGTGAAAGGGTTTAAGATGTCAATAAAGCACATGTTTATGGCAGTGACATTAAGCAGTTGGGTGTGATTCACGATTTTAAAAGTGAAAGTCATTTAGCTTTGCTAATTACAATAACAGGTGCAAAACTGAAGAATTCTTCAACTATTTATGAGGTACAAAGTGTCAAGACAAAGCATTAGAACATTTAAGATCTGACCATCAAGGGTTTTCTATTAAAATAGTCTCCAGCAGAGTCCCACTAAAGGGACTTTAGAAGCATCCTCAGTCTTCCCTGCTCAGTCCCTCTCTTGCATTAAAGTTTTTTTTTTAGGTGCTGTTGGTCTTTCAGTTGATTGTTTTAGCACATTGGATGGGTGTTTGGGATGTGAGAGGCCTTGACTGGATATTGTGAATTAGATTCTTATATGCCTGCAGAAAGCTTGATTCAGTGAAATACAAAGTCCTTTCACAGGATGACCAGTTCACAAACCACAGATATCTCAAACAATTCACCTGAATTGTGACTTCCCATCCCTTATTTTCTGCACATGACACAAACATGAGAAAGTGGGCTGTGACCTGTGTGACACTTACAGGGGGTTCATACACAGATCTATTTTGTCCTACTTAATCTTCTGAAATTCACTGTTACACTTCCATTTCCTCTATAGATGTGAATCTGTTTTCAATCGCAACATATTATTCTGTACAAGACAGTAGATAAACAGATGGTTCTGTGGTGGAATATATACATCTGGTCACACTCCTACAAATACACCAGGGATGATCTGCACACGTTTATGCTTAACAGGACTTCGAAAAATCACCTATTTCTTTTGGCAGCAAGGGGTTTTGATTACTTTCTGAGTAAAATACAACAAAGTCATTACTCTGTTTTCTGAGGCACATACAGATAGAAAAATCTAGGAAAGTTACCCTCTGTCTAAGGAAGCAATAATTAAATACATAGTGAAGGAACTTAAAGATGTTTTTACATAAAACTGATCTCAGTTGATCTCACAGAATTACAAGTTATATTAAACAGTAGTGCAGGGAAAGGAAAGTCAAAGCACAATATCCATCAAAGTAGCATGGCAAGGTATATAAACAGCCATTTGATAGCTATCAAGCACTGGATGCCACTGCAATGGCACTGGCAATAAATACAATAAAATCCTGTAGTGGTTATCCACCATCATATGTCTGGCATTCTCATACTAAGTGGTACTGTGCATGCTGTGCTGTCCTTAGGGGAATGCAATTAACCCTGTGGAACCTTGTTGTTCTTATTGCTTCTACAAAGAAGATTTCCAGGGGAGCACGTGATTGAAGCCACGCCTACCTTCTGGAAAACACCTGGGAGTTGCTCATCTATTTTATAAGTAAGGGAAGGAAAGCAGTAGCTAGCAGATGCTCCCTCTGTGCCTGGGCAAGAGCACCTGGAAGTCAGATTTTAGTTTATACATCGTCAGTTTTCTACCTGCCACCTTAGCACAATTCTCTTGCCAGCAATTAGCTCTTGTGCCTTAAGAATAAAGACTTTAATGAAATCCACCATAGGAAAGAGCCCTTGTCCTTTCATTTTGCATCCCCATTGGTCAAACACTTTGGATAGGAAGGGCCTCTCTTCTGGGCTTTCTTTTCTGTTCCCTGTCCATCTTATTTTTGCCCACCTGCCAGTATATCTATATGAATAAAATCCATAGAAATATGCAATAGTTAGTGGAGATGTACTGGAGAATTTGCCACTGAATAATGCCATTTCATTAATTAAATTAGGCTGCTAATAAAGTTAATGATAGAAACAATAGTTTTGGCAACAAGCACGGAGAGCAGTGGAGAAGAATGTGATTGCTACTTGGATCATAATTACCTTTAAAATTGCCATTTTGACGTTCATAAAGCGAACACTGCTTTGAGGAAAGAGATTGCTTTCAGAGCTGCACAGATCAGTAACAACTACAGAATCCGGATAAAACAGGCTGCTTAAGATTCTGGATGTGAGTCATGCCAAATTTTGTACTCCGGAGGGCTCAGAAGCTCACAGCCGGCATCTTCTGGAAACGTGTCACCTTCGGTTGCTATTGATCACTAGCTACCTACCGTTGTGCTGGAGATTCAGCTCACCAGCAACAAAGTACTGTTGACACCAAGGGTGCTGCACAGCAGTGTACACAGCTTTTTGATGACTAAAGTCAAAAAAGAGATATCTTTGAATAAGGTCAGAAATTACTCCGTGATAACATGTTTTCATGTTATCTGTGAACACATCACCACAGCTCAGTTGACAGAGGTGAGAGACTTATCCAAAATACTGAGAAACAATCACATAGACTATCTTGTTTTTTAATACTGAAGAAAAGAGCTTTTTTCTCTTGCTTTTTTTAATCTTCATTTTTATTCAACTGAACTTGCACTGCTTTACTTCAATTTTACATAACAACACTTTGTGAAAAGTGATTTATTTTTAATGTATCAGCAAAATATTTCATAAAGGTGGTCTTTCTAAGCTAGCAAAAAAAATGGAAGTTTAAAATAATTTCTATTAAAAAAATGGTATGAGATAACTATACATGCAAGAAAGATGCAAGGTTGTGATAAATGGGATGTACACAAGCCACCAGAGTACATGCACACACATCAATTCAGTTCACAGCCTAGTCAATCTATGCACTTTCTGCTTAACTCCCTTCCTGGAAACTTGTCGACTGTTAAGACTTTGCATCATGTTCCCTCTTGAATTCAAGGTCCAAAACTTGGCTACAAGAAACTATTATTTTTTGATGTATTCACTGGAGGGAAAAACCTGTGCTGGTTGCACCTACCTATTCTCTGCAGCCCTTGAGATCATGGCAAGGGTCTGTTCAGTCCTCTGGCAGGCAGGAGAAAAGTCCTTCTGAGACCATCGCTTATCGTACTCAAGCAGAAAAAATAATTCATGCTTTGAGTAATTATCTGACTTTTGTTCCCTGAAAAATCCTTTACAAACCTACACATGTCCCTTAAAACAATGGTAAAGAGAGTATGTGGAAAAAAAGATGCTGAAGTCAAGAGAAAACACCATTACTAGACATATACAGAAAGATGATGCATAGATATTTTATCTCAGACCATTTGTGGACTTTTCTGAAGGACGTATCACCATGGACCTGGTTCTCTATTGTCTAAGTTTCTGCAGTAATTTCCCACATGGTTTCCTCCAATGTTAGCAAAAATCTTGTTCAATTTAGAGTAATGTTAGCACAGTCATTATCTAACTGGTTATACTTTGCAAGGGGCAAAGTTACTGAAAGACAGTATTTTTCTTTCCGGTATCAGCATCATTTTAGTGACCAGCAACTGACTGACTGACTCCAGTTTGCTTTTACAAGGGTATTTGCACTTTTAGTCAGATTTCTAATTTTCCAATGGCAATTAGGAATGCTTGGATAAAATTTATGTTAATGTCAGGCTTAGTTAAAATGTTTGTCCTGGAGAACATGCAACTATGGGAAACCAGAGAAGGGGGAATAAGGTTTTTAAAGTCTAAGGCCCAGTCTTAAATTTATGCTATATATTTACCGTAATGGAGGAAAGAAACACCGAGTTATTTACAAAACCTGGAAAGAACTGCAATCTGCTATTATAGGAGGTAAGGTTTAGCAGGCTTAATAAAAAGATATGCCCTTCAGACTGCTCTCAGTTTGTCCTATCATGTCTTTTTCCATCTTCAGCCTTATAACATTTTCTATGCCTTGTAAACTGATAGGAATTCATTCCTCAATGGCCATACACAGAGGTTAATAAGCTCCCAGCAGCAGCTGACTTGGCACTAGAGAAGAAATACTCTCCCCTACATCCAGTTCAGAAATGTTACCTTCATATCCCCTTCCCTGTTTTGGGAAACCTTTTCCTTTTTCCACCTCAGTTCTTCTGGATGTAGACTGGCAGTGTGGTAAGGTTTTCCTCTTGTCCTGTGTCTGAGAGGTTGTTCATTGTGCAAATTGCTGGTCAATGTGATGTGACACTGAGCCAGCCAGAGACATGAGGTAGGTGTGCCAACATTATTCCTTACATCAAAACACAAAATAGGGCTTTTAGTGTTAAAAATAATCATTCATTAGGTCAGAAGGTAGGATAGGGTAACTATTACAATAGTGAAAAGGATGATTTTCTGGGGAAAATAGCTTAAACCATTTGCAAACAAATCTTTCCCCTATCCACTGCGCATGTCCTTCCTTCTGACCTTGTTCTCCTTCCTGCAGTTTTCACAGCGATTGCAGCAGACTCCCTCTGACTGTCTCGGAAAGTTTCCTTTCTGTCACCTCTGTGCCTGTGCTCTCTGCTTTCTCACTGACTCGCACACCAGCTGCAGGCTCCCTGCCTGCTCCACCCTGCACTTGCCAAAGGTTGCCCAGCAAAGCCTCTAAACTCGCTCTTGGAGATAACACCACCTCTCTTTCCCTTCAGAGGGTGTAAAATCCAGGACAAAACAAAGCAGCAGCTTTTGACCTTGCTGTCCAGCCTAGCCTTTCAGAAAAACACCCTGCTCACAGAAACTGTGAACAAACAAATAACTCAGGCTGTTTAACATGTCACTGTGACACAGTGGTGAGCGGTAGGAAAGGCTAAAAGAATTTAAGAGATTATTAGAGGACAAGCAACTAATCCTGTGTGTATTTCTCTCACATTTCTTACATAGTAAAATGTCATTCACTTGTGCAGCCAGGAAGCAGAGAACTTGCTTGTTTAAGAAAAACAGATCAGAAAGGTAGTGAGGATTTTCATTCCTCAGAAGGATTCCTTCTAAGGTGATAAAAGAACATAGTTATCTATACTGGCACAAACAGCAAGATGTCTCTGCCTTGTAATATTAGAGCCAAAATATGACACTTTCTGTGCCTTAAATTCAATTTTTTTTTATCATTGGAAGACGTGTACAAATTCCACTATAAAATAAATGGTGCTTTGCACCGAGTGTTGAGAATGTTAGAGGTTAAAAATACTCTCTACCTTCTGCCTCATCCATGCCCTGTCATCTCTATATATTTTCATACATATGCAAGTTTATGCTGTAAAATGTTCCTAACAAGAATTTGCTATAAAAAATGCTATGCATTATACTTGATAAAATGCTAAAATAAAATGGAATCTAAAAAAGCTCTGAAAAATACCTTGGACAGCATAGGATGCTGCACTAAGAAATGTACCTCACAGGAAACTGCAAAACCCCTAAACTAAAGCATGGCACCAATCAATCCATGAGGAAAACTAATATGCATGGTGCGTGGGGATCATGTACTCAGTGAGCACATTCACATGATAAGACTTTTTATCATTCGAATGTGCTGCACCAGAAGGGAAAGGATAAAAAAGTACACTGTCACCAATTTGGAATGAGGTCTGTGGCAGTCTGCTGGAAAAGATGCCAACCATAAGAGGGGGAAAAAGAAGATGTCTAAACTGGCAAGACTTTCTAGAAAAAAACCAAACAAACTACTAAACAAAAAAAATGCACTTGAAAGAACAAAGACAATTGTTAATGACTTTTTTCTTACTACAGATTTTTTCAGTTATAATTCTTAAAAGATTTGGAGACAGTAAGTAATGTAAATGTTGAAATGTCCTCAATTTATTGTCTTTTTATTTTCCTACTCCTTGCAATTTAATACTGTAATAGGAGCAACATTGAAGGATTTTTTCCATCTTTCTCATTCTTCCACATCCTCAGTTCCTTAAACAGTCATGAAAGCACCAAAAGAAATATTAAGCCCTGTAATTTTTCTAGTATGCCACTCTTCCAACACTCAGTTTTCCTAAAGTTAAATACTCCTTTTTTCACCATTCTGAAGCTTTCATAGGCACAAAGTTACAATGATAAAAATAAAACCTAGCAGAGCTATCACTCAGTGCATTGAACCAAAGAGCACAAATAGGGCAGGAGTAGAAAAGAAAAGAGAACTTAAAAAAACCCAAACAAACCCCATCTTTTTCCAAATTAGTTCCCTTTAAAAATGCATGTATACATGAATTTTTTACTTGTGTCTTTTCTTCTAATTTGATCTTTACAGCAGTGAAAGAAAAATGCAATATACCACTTACTTCTGTTTTTGGCTTTACACAAATGTTTCTCTGTTTTTCAATAAATTCTACTCACAACATGTAAGTATCTGTGACAAAGACCATCCCCCTGGAGTGGTACAGGATGCATTGCTAAGCAACATTTTTTTTTAGTTTGCTTTGGTTTTGTCCTTTTGTTCTCTCTCAGAGTTCTTTCGGTTTCTTGCTTTCTTACCATGTGAATACAGAAGGAAGTTCCACTAGGGTCTCTCTCTGCAAATAATATGCTATGTAAAGGATTCAGATTTCAGAAAGCCCATGCAGAAAACCATGACATTTTTTAACTAACTTTGAATCTGTTATGTTCAGAGGCAGAATCCCACTGGCAATTGGAAATACAAATTCAAAGTGTTTCCACTCTAGATTACCATTACTCTCTGGGTGGATGGATCTGCTGTAGTCTCAACTTCAGAGCAGAAAATTACTTACTTTCTACTTTTTTCCTTCCTCTGCACTTTGTGTTTTATTTGTAAAACAAATCTGAGCACATAGGCTAGAGGGGAATCACAGAGCACACCAGAAAGGTCCCTAACTGGGAGATCAACAGTGAGGACTTGAAGACGTGCTAGAGTATGTCAACCAACTGTTGACACAGCCACAGCTTGTCTGATCCTCACCTAACTAAAGACAGAACATATACAAAATAAAGTTCCTTATATTGTTGAAAATCAAGCATTAGCCTGAAGTCTAAATGTGTATCTCCATACTCAAAATGTTTGAAAATTATTAATGGATATATATGATCTAAAATTGACAACCTGAACAGCAGGAATGCAAACACTCTCATGTTTATATACCTGTGGTGGTGCAAAGTAGTCCCAGCACAGCATACTTTGCCAAAAGTTAAAAACACAATATCAAACTCAGGTGCTTTCCTTAAAGAAAAAAAAAAAAAACAGTTTAGGTTGGTTTGGTTTTATTTTTTTTTTAAACAGGTACAAACTGCTTCTAAAGCTGCCGTTTGAGAATATGAAGCTTTTCATATATGTGTTTCATCATAACATGTCTTCCTGCCTTACTCTTTTATTGAGACCTGCATTTCTGTTGATCCCGGTGTTAGGTGTGACATGGCAGTGGTTTCAAGTAGGTTTGCAACTGACCAGCAGCAGTCTGAAATGTTTCCAGATGTTTATGACAAAATGCATCTCTACAGACAAGGAAATCTTATATTGGTATGATGCTGGCAGCTTCAAGGCAACCTTGACATAAATTTCCTGCAAACATATTCCTGCCATTGCGAGCTGTGCTATCCTATCAATTCAGTGTGATTATCTAGTCCAATACCGGGAATCCACATTTAATAGATGGTTCCAGCAGCAATCCTCTGACACCATCAGCTAAAGCTTGTTCTCTCTATCTTCTTTACCCTCATCTATATTGCTGTCTGTAAGAGTTTCCCAGTTCCATGAATTGGTATGTAAGGGCAGGTATTTGCTTCATAAACTCCTGCTGTTTCTCAACTGTTTGCCAGTGCAAAGGAGGATTTTCAATACGGCATGTAATTAACTATTACTGAGAAAGTAAAAACTAAGTGTAGCAGAGAAAAATGTGATTTGTCAGGGTTGTTCCTTCCTACCGTTTTTTAAATTGCACCATGTCTCTCCCAAAAATGAATTCATGAAAGCCTACAGTATTTTTACCAGTGAACTATATTTGTGGAAATGGAAATTCCTGGCTGCCCTCCAGAAAAATAAACTCTCTCTGAACAGAAATAACACCTCAACATTCCATATAACAGTAGTGCAAATAATATAGGACACTTAGCATGCTGATAGTTCATGGACACCCCTTCTCATTTTAACACAAATATTCATTTGTAATGAGTTAACAAAACTAATTTTGAGCAAAAGTTACATTTTGGGAAGTAGTTACACCAAGAATTTCAGATTTCACACTTGGAGCAATTGTATTTGTGTGATTCTTTCCACAGAATCCATTTTTTCAAGCACTGAAGGTATTTGGTGGGGACAGCCTGAGACACTCTGGCAAGTGCCTTTAACACTGAACTATATCACCCTCTAAGGGCACCAGAGGTCAAGGCATTAGACCACTGACAACTTGACAAATGTACAACTTCACTGTAATACTGTCAAATAACAGCATGTATAAAATGTAAATATTCTCATCAATGCTGCAATTAAGCTTAAAAATATTGTTGTATAACCACCAATCAAAAATATTGTTTTAATTATAAAAAACTTGCATAGATTTTGCTCTCTTTCTCCTTTTGTTTCCTAATTCATATCCTTTCTCTTGGTGTTGCCTATATTTCTGCTTCAATCTTGGCCTTTGTGACTATAGTCCTTTCCTTTTTTGTCAGAATATGCTTTTGCTACCTAGTGCTTCCTAAATGTGTATCATCTCTACAGCTAAATTGCATAAAGCATTACTTTGCTACCAAAAAAAAAAAAGAAAAGTATCTACTACAAGAGATTTCATTCTACTAGTTGATGCTCCCATGGACTGCTTCCATTTCCCCAGTTATTTCAAGATAGGAAGTCCATCTGTTTGCTTTTTTCACTTCTTTCCTTAGAGTTCACACTTTACCTCCAGATACCCTGCTGGAGCAACTGTCTTCGTATACCAAAACCCTCTGGAGATGTATAAACATTAGTGAGCATGTTAGAAGCACTAATGTGCAGAAACTTACCCTCTATTGCGTATGCTGCCTCTTGAGCTCTGTCCAGAGAGCAGTCAGTCTCACAGTGCCCCTCCATCTGAAAACAAAAGACAGTGGATGATAGAAGAAGGGTTCTGTGTAACTGCATCAACACGTTTTTTTCCTCCTGAACACATTTACCAGGCAAACACCCAAATATAGTGGAGCTGTGCCTAATGAAGCATCTCCCCCTGTGGGACTGTGGTCTCTGTCTCTTCAGGAAGAAGCCCCGGATGATGTGCACTTCCCCCATCCCCTCTACCTTTGTCCCTTATAACTGGATGCACGATCAGCTCTGTTGGTCTTACATGAGAAAGTAAGGCCTTTTGATTACACTGGTGGGTTTGAAACAGTATTTTTAATTCTTTTACAGTTATTATTTTTACTTGATTACAATTAAGATCGTGTTCCTATTGTCCTTGTCATGAAAGTTTATGAGAGAGTCACTAGACTAGGAAAAGTGTCAGTTTACAGTTATCCTCTTTCCTTTAGCTCAATTTCTGCAAGTGTTTGCAACTTTCCTTGTCAGACAGTAATTCACTGGATGCAGTAGAGTTTTTAATTACCTCAGTCACCATTCTAATACTATCAATACTCCTATAATATGTACCCAAATAAATATAAACTTATTGTTGGATGTAAGTGATGTCAACCTTCAAAATGGATGGTCACTTCAATTATAACAGAGTCATAAAAGGAAGATTGCTTTTCGCCAGTATCACACTTTCAAAGATTACGTTTAAGTAGTTAACCTGACAGCTTTACGAAAACTCTGTTGTAATTAAATCCCTGTATCATGTCTTGTTTGATTTTATTTCATATTACACATTTTTTTCATTTAATTAACATTAAAGCCTCATTTGGAAATGGTATGTTTTTAATGCAGCTCATTTGTAAAACAGATAATAAATTACACCTTAATGCTCCCATCACATTCAAATTCTACTCTTGCCAGACACATGATTGAATTTAGACACAATCTTAGATATTTCAGTTTTTGAAAAACAGTATGAAACTGTAACAAGCAGGAGATATTTCAAAGATTTTGTTTCCTACCATAGGTTCTGTAGATTTGTTTGATGAATTAAAAATTGTTATATCCTGGGATTAGTTAGGTTTTAAAAATACTTTTTATAAACTTCTTAGTGTAATGTGACATGTTACAGTAAGCAAAATTAGCTAATGGCAACTATTTAAACATTTATTGGTCAAAACTACATGATACTACAAACTTTTTCCTTATTTTCTATTATGGCAATTTGTCACCTTAACAGAACTAAACACAAGGTTTCACACTAATAGTGGGGTTTTAACGCTTAATTTCTTTAAATGCCTGTGATTAAATGAACAGCCTTAAGGCACCCAAGTATTTTGTTGTGACAGTGTGTTAGGATTTCAGGCGTCCCAAAAGCCAAGTATTCAGTAATATTTATACATACATATATATAAATAAATATTACTATAGCAACTGTTTGGCTTTCACTTTGCTTGTCAAAGCCTTAGCAGAAAAGATGCTGGTTTGGGGCTGACATGCAGTATTTAAAAACAGCCTCTAGATGCCGCTGTTTACTGCATTTAGAAGACGGGCGGCAGTTGAGAAAGAATAGCTGTAAATTGAACGAAATGCATTTGACAAGTATTGCTTGAGCCTAAGCCTGCTCTCTTGACGTCAATAGCCAAGATTTCAGCAGTTTCAGGGAAAACAAGTAGAGCTTCTATATTTATCCGTAAAACTAAACAAAAAACCCCTTCTCTTCACCAAATAAGACTGCTCTTTGAAATACAATTAAATAGTTTTCATTGCATCCTGAGCTATAAAATGTACCATAGGATTGCTTCCTAATTACAGAAACTCCTTCTTACATACACACACACATACTTAATTATTCCGGATGTCTTTGTTTAAGAATGACACTGTATAAATATTAATATTTTTTTTCCCAACTATGCTTTGTTCCATGGTCTAGGTTCATTGTAGCATAATAAATTTGAGTTTATTAGATCAGTTGCTTCTATTTAGATGTAAATTTCTTCAAGGAGGATTAATTACTCTGTAATTCTGATTTTTTTTTTTTTAATTAGGAAAATGGAGACATTATCTGACATTTCTCTAACTAAAAAGAAAAATAATGAAGAACACCAAACTCCAAAGAAACTTCCATTGTGCCTCCATATCACAGTTCACAGAACATAAAAATTTTGTAAAGTGTCTGGGTACTTTTTTTGGGACTTGAGTTAGGTTAGGTAAAGTTCCAGGAAGCCATTTAGTGATTGAAATGCTCATGCTCAAGTTGCATATCCCTCACAGGAGCACCTTGGTCACCTCTAGAACACATGTGAAGAGTATAGAATTCCAGAGTGCTACGTTTCAGAAATGAATGAGGCCACTCTTCCCTTTAAACCAGTCAGAGAAGGAAGAATGTGACTACCATGGTGATTTATCCACAAGCACATGAAGAGCATGTAGTTGCATGGAGAGATATTTTGAATGACTTTCCTATTTTCACCTCCCAACAGATTCTCTTAAAGATACAAGAGAGTCCTGCTTAGGAAACTGAAAGTAACTATTAGTAGGAATGTTTTTGAATTACATGTTATAGACCTCTTAGAAATGATAAACAAACCACCAAGCGGACTTGAGTCACTGACTAGAAATTCGTGACAGTTCTCTGATGAAAGAAGGAGAGCCAGAGGCTTTTTTCATTTGTTCAGTGTGACTCAAGTATGCACCACCCTTCCATCAGAAAACCTGCAACTCACTGATTGCTCTTGGCTTACTGACAGTATGGAGGATTTTCTTCAATGACAGTTTCATGCAAGGGACATACTCCAAGTTCATGGAGAAAAGAATGTAAGCCGAGACTCTCCCTTCAGTCTTTCCACTATGTTTGGGAGTCTGCATTCACACACACATACAACCTGTTAAAGCAAGACTTTAATCATATTATCAAGATGAACAGCATCATCAGGAGACAGTTAAGATATTTTTTCAGAAATTAGGAGTTGTGATTTTGAGTCTATAAAGACAAAAACTGAGTAAGGGTCTTCTGGGCTAAAGGAACACTAAAATCATTTAAACGTGAGTTTCATGGTTGTGCTTAAAAATAGACTAAAACAAAATTCACTGGTTTACACAAAGTTTGATTTTGTAGGCAGGCACTGTCTTATCCCATGAGAAGAGGAAAAGCATCTTATTTGTAGATCTTGTAATGGTTTGAGATGTGTTGCTTATGTAGGCCAAGAGTAAGAGGTTTTTGAAAAGCCATAAAAGTACAAATTCAGCTTCTCAGAACTTTGTAAATTGAAGCAAGTTGCAGACAAACTTCCTCCAGTTTGACGACATTAAAGTTCAGACTTTCAGGATTGCAATATAAGGTAGATAGCTATATATTGTCCATAATTTACTTGAGACAACTAATATATTTTTGGACCTGTTTTTTGAGACTTTTTTAAGCACATAGCTTCTTAATGGTCTTCCAGTATTATGCAAGATCTGCTGCACAACAAAGCAAGTTGTATCAGTGTTAATGAGAACAGAATTTGTGACAGTATACTTTAAATTGGGGCTGCCTTAAGCTAAGTGGAAACACTGACATAATCATTTGTAATGCTAACTAGAAGAATGTAATTTAAGAAAGAATTATTAAAATGAGCCTCACGTCTGTATTTAGTGGGGAGGATCTGGGTTCTAAAAGTTACCTCCTCTTAATAATACTAAGACATGCAGGTCCTGATCTTGAAATGAGTTCCATATGCCTTAAAGCCCATGTTCAGCCACAGCATGCTTCTGCTTCATGACCAATTTTTAGTTTTCCACTTTTAGGAGAACTGAAACATATGGACTTCTGAAAGAGAACCATTAGGTTCAACTTCTGTAGGCTGACTGAAAGCCTATATCCACTAATAAATAAAAAATAAATAAAACAGAAAGATTACTCTCTAGCCATAGATGTGTCTCTGCCAAAGAATGCCGAGCTTTGGCCAAAGCTCTCACCTTATAATATTTTACATTAAATATTTCTAACCAACAGATGGGTCTGGCTGAGGAATACCTGGATAGTTGTTCCATGGAAAAAGTATAGAGCATTGAGCCATCAGAGACCAAAGTGGGGTGACAAGCTCTTTTGTAAACGGAATGGATTTTCACTCCCATTCAAAGGTTTATATTCAGGATCAAATACTAAATGGGGAAGAAAATGGAAAGCTCACAACTCCACTGGTTCTCTCATAGTAGTATAGGTATGTGCACAGAGAAAGATTCTTGCTATACCAACAGTAAAATACATGTGCCTATACATATATATATATGTTCACTTAAATGGAATCATGTTAATAAGAATTTCATAGTTTGCAGAATAATTTTTTAAACATTTATTTCTATCAGTAATGGAAAGCATATTATACTGCTGAATACAACTGCCTCTCTCGCTGCATATGCTGAAGTCCTCTGGTATTCACGTTATCAGGAAAATAAAGCCTCTTCAGTAAGACCTCCTACATTTTTCAGTCAAGAATCTGCTGAACAGTAATGTAAACCAGACAACAGATAAGTTCACCTTTGAAATTACTAGTGTTCAGTACATGAAGTTTACTAAACTATGCAGGTGTTTTGGGGGGTTGACAGAACTGCAGAAGAGACAAGAAAAAAAAAGGGTTTGCAATTACTACTCCTCACTGTTATGGTATCAGAGTAGTTTTAGAGTGACTGGTACACTTTGTTATGCCTGAAAGTAAAAGACCACCCAATTACAATAATGAGATAAATGTATAATTTTGTATTACACCTTCATGTGTCTTCCCCTACCACCACATGCATTTCACCTGAGCGTTCAGTCCAAGAAAATCTGCTTTCTTTTTCTATTGCACAAATTTACTGTCTTCAGTGACAAATAGTTACATAAGTATATACTATACAGAGTGTCTAAAGAGAACTGTGACTAACTTGAGTTACTGTTTCCCAAAATATTATCTTGGAAACAAGTATCCTCTCCTCATCACCTCTTGCCTGAGGTTTGCAAGCACAGATATAAGCGAATCAGAGAGAAGGCCTTTTGTCTATCCAAGCTTTAAAAAGATAAAGGGGAAAGACGGAGATATGAAAGGGAATCTAAGAACTGATCCCTGTAAATCCATCTGAAAATAACAACTTTCTGGCCTATGTCAGAATGAACTTTGTCCGGAAAAAAATGTGGGACTTTGAAGCTATTCCTAATGTTCCATTTTTCAGATTCTAAGGTATCCTCTATGGGAGAGATTTTCCTTGCTCACACAATCTGAGTCTACCCAAGCCCAGGTGCTGGGAATAGGGAGATGGGTGCCTTATTAGGCTTTGCTGTGGACCACTGTGGCACCCTCCTGCCTCTGTTAGGACTAAAAGCAATCTAATCTACCTGTCTAGACAAGGCTTTGTGCTGGTCTGATCCCTTTCTTTGGTGCTGCTTGTGACATCCAGAAATTTGACAAGGAAAGCAATTATTGATCAGTCTGAGGTGTGTTTTGCTGTGATAATTGTCTAAGCATGACTGAGTGATGCCCCTATAGATAGGTGCTTACTTATTTCCTGAGGCATGTCGTCCTCAGAGCGACAGAAACATTGATAAGAGAGAGGACAAAATGACTAACTTAGATGGAGTTTGTGTTGAAACATCTGCTGCTTGTCAACATGGGAGGCAGAAGCAGTGATTTATTAGTAATAAAAAAGGAAAACCAATGAAAATCTCTGTCTTATTCTTTCCCTATTTTCTGACTAAGAATGCCCAGGAAGTTCCCCTGAAGAGAAAATACTGCCCCATTATCTGTATATTTTTACTTTGCCTACATTATAACTTATCACATACATGGTAACACATTATTTAGTTCAAGACTTTGAGTACCTTCTGCCTATTAAGGAATATGGACAATAAAGTCACTAAATGCAACTGTGAAAATCTATGGACAAGTCAAATTGTGATCATCTAGATTTTTTTCCTCTTGCATAGAATACAAATATTTTTAGAAAATTGAACTGAATGTAAATTACTGAAAAGATATTTGGTAATGTTTCCTATTCTCTGAATACATAACAAACACAGACCTGTAATTTTTCCTCATTGTTTTCATGAGAGTAATTTCATTTGGATTAATCCTTTCTTTCAGACTCAGCTCTGCATGAGCACTCTGCAGAATTCTGGCTTCCACATAAAGAGAAGCTCTGAGAGAAACTGGCCTCCAGAATGCCAAAATTGCTTCCCCAGAACATGGTGGCATGTACAGTCAGAACATTGTTGCCCATAGGAGGAAGGTACACACCTTCTCTTTTACAGCTTTTGAGCTCTGAAGAACAAAGGGTCTTTGAGAATCACAGCCACGCCACTGGGCCATGGAAAAGGGATGTGATGGAGGAATCTGTGCTCTTCCCTTCCGTGCATATGCATAGTAAATAGATGGGCATCATCTGCTCAACAGTAGGGTGTAGCTTTTGTAGTATTTCTACCACCAGAACACACTCCCCAAAAATAAAACCTCAAAAACATAGATGCCTTGGTTTAACTGGAATATTAAGAAAAGCAAAAGTATTAGAAATTAGAAGAAGCAATCATAACAGCATGATGCTTTTAAACAGAAATTAGTCATCTGTCTGCCTGCCTCTCTGTAATTTAAAGAATGAAGATATGTCTATGTCAAACGAGTTGTTTTTTTTCCCCAGAGGACATAGAGTTTAATCAAGCCTTAGTAACCTTTTGTAAATGGTGAGGCATGACTGACATCAGAGTAGGATTGAAAAAGAGAAGATATTTAGGTTCAAATCCAGATGTAAAGATGTCAATCTCACTAATGCAAGTTAGAGTGAGTATATATATTGATTTAAACTGAGCGTTTTCTACTTTCTGTGCAATCAAGAAGTAGGTCAGAAGTTGAAAGCAGAAAAACAAAGTAAATGCCTGTCCTGGTAAACCACGACAATGCCTGAAGGAGGTCTCATTCTATATTTTGGGTCTCATTCTGATCCTGTCAACATTGCATCAGCACAACTCCATCTATCAGATCTACATTACCGTTTTGATGGAAATGAAATGCCTCAGTAAAGCTTTCTTCAGACATTTTTTCATCTGAATACCTTTAGACTTCCTTTCTTTTTCTGTATTTTTATTTGTTCCCTTTTTAAACAATAAAGCATCAATAAGCCATCAGGTTATTTGCAGGTTTTGGAATATTTTCACCTTACTCAAAATCACATTGGTTGGAATCTGCTTCTGTGTTCTGATTCATCAGGTACTTCCATTGTAACAGGTGACATGAGTGTAGCAAAGAACTAAGCGTTTTTTTTCTCCTGGTGCCACGTGCAATTACATCTATTTTAAGTGGTCTGATAATTACATTTTAAACAGCACTTATTATTCTCTTTTAGTTATATCCAAATGGATTTTTATTGTTATAGTAAATAGTTACTAAAGCCCTCTGAGGGAGAAAAAGCTCCACACATTTTCAAGCAAACAATTCAAGCCTGTACATTAATCTCTACCTTTAAACAAACAGCAATAATTAATGGGAGTTGGGCACCTTGCTGTATTGTACAGTGACAGAGATTAAACACTGGCACTGCAAAATGCCAGTTTTCAGCTTGTGCATTTGTAGACCCTTCAGAGCCACGAACTGACATTTGCAATCTTTGTCAGTCAAAAAAAAATGGCAAATTCAGTTAAATTTAGTTCTGCCATTCAAACGGAATGAAGGTCATCACCTGCCCCTTTTGTGATTTGATTATCCAGGGACTGAGTTTATTTTCCTGAAGAAAGATACATTAAAAGGGCCCAATTCTGCAATTATTGCTCCATCTCAGCAGTTCAATTGGTTTAAATTATTAATCATTAACTGACTTAGCTATTGTTTATTTAAGAGTACAGATTAATATATAGTCCTGAACTGCTTTTTTTCCTTTCCTAGAGCTCTCACAACCATTCTAAAAAACAATTAAATACACTTTGAAATTACAAAAATTAGTATATTAAATAAATATAATTTATAATTCAATTACTGGCTTTTTGAAATGCTATAGTTATGTATCATTTACATTACCCAAAATATTTTGATTGACTTCATTTGGACTACTTATGTAAATAAAGACTCCAGGTCCAATCCTTCTACCCAAGAAGAGAAGGAAACTCTGAAGCAAGCTCCTGAATTCCAAACCATTATGTGCATAAAGCCAGGACCAAAGCATCATGCTTGCAAGGAGAAACATGCTTGACATGCTCCACAATCCTCTCCATATGCTGCTCCTGCCTTTATGGCATTCCCATCTCATCTTCACTGACTCCCTGAAACACTGGGGTTAGGAGTGCAGCAGATTATAAGCACCACTTTTTGACCCAGTACTTCTTGTAAGAAGTGGGTTTCCTGAGGTTACTGTGAGAATCAATTGTGGCAGAAGCCCAAGTCAAGGACACAGCAATGTCAGTGCCAGTTAAAAGAGAATGAATGTCTGACCTTGTGGAAGTGGACTACTTCATGGATTAAAAACCATCTGTAACAGGGGGAGTCTTCACTTCTTTGCCTGCCACACTCTTAATCTCTTCTTCTTCCAGAGACAACAATGTAAAGAACACCCTGAAAAACCTCAGCAGGACCACTAATTTGGCCTTGAATATTTCCTATTGCATATGGGACCAAGGATATATGTACCAATGATTTAAGCAGCATTCAGAAACAAGATTTCTGAGGATAATATTAAGGATTGCTAAATGATTAGCACATAATCTGCTATCTGAACACAGTGGATTTTAGTAATGCATTTTTTCACTATGCTGGACTGAAGGGGGCATCCTATAGGTGCACCACAGGTCAGGTTCCAGTGTTACAGTGCTACGGCATGAAATAAGAAAGCTCATTCATTAGCATATGAATCAGCTCTCCACAGAAAGTGGTAGAACTGCAGAAGAGGAAAAGCCATTTTGCTTTAATAATAACAGCCTGTAAGAGGCAATCCCAGGTACAAAATGATCAAGTGACCAGAGCCAGTTCAGTGAAGAATGACAGCATTTTATGCTCAACACTTCAAGATTAAAGTCTTTAGTTAGCAAAGCATAATGTGAATCACTTTCATGTATAATGCATTGTGTGAGCCCATAGCCACTATGATACAATGTAAGCAATTCCATTTAGTGCAATTTGACTATAGCTAGTACAGAATAATTGGAGTCAGTTTCTAGCATGCTAGAATTTGAGTCAAAAACGGTATGGAAAAGAATTTGATACATAATAATACCGAGCTGCAGATAACAAGTAATGATGTGGATGGATAGTTAATATTCTATACTGTGCAAGTCATCTTAATAGGTTGTGATGTGATTATGAGTTCAGTGTTCTTACACACAGACAAAAAGCTAATACATCACAGCAGAAAGGTGACTATTAAGAAACAGTATAAATAATGACACAGAGCTGCATTGGAGGAGAGTGTAACACCAAATACTGCAGTTTTCTCAAATTTAAGAGTGAGGGAATAAACATCTACTGGAGGATAAAAATGGCTACTCAAGAGAACACTGGACATATTTCAGAGCAATTTCTCATATTTCAGAGGTGGCGTTAATGCTACACTGGGCAACTCCAACTCCTTCTCAGGAACTCAGCCCTTTCCATTCTTTTTCTCTCATTATTAGAAGCAGTTGTGAAAGTTCTCACCTCTTTGATACTCTGGGCCTCAATCCTTTGTGCAAATACTACGGTTTGAAGACCTGCCCCTTCCATGAGGTTAATAATGTATGATTAGCTAAAGAACTACAGTGTTTTAAAGCAAGTACATAAACATTAACATGACAGATCTGCATGTAAACATCTTTGGCTTTCTAAAATTACTACAGAAAACGGCAAAAATGTGCTATTATTGCAACTTGTGACTGCGTTCGGTTTAAAACCAATGGACACTAGTTTATTGACTTTTTTTTTTCTTCCTAACTTTACATGAGTCTACCCTGTGTACCTGAGAAGAGCTCATTTATGAGTATGTGCTAATCGGTTCCGACTACAAGTTTAAGTCATCCCTGAGCAAACAGAAAACTATTCAGCTTAGCAATAAAGTTAAATAATTATTACCAGGCTATGTGATGTGACTACAATGTGACATTGAAATGACTATGGCGTGATTAGAATAAGAATGTTATATGCCTGAGATGTTACTAGAATGAGGCTATAAAATGTCTGTGATGCTATACTGCTGTGATATGACTAGTGTCAGGAAAAATGTGTGCATTATTAATGCATACATAAACATGCCGTATTTCAGAAGTAGACTGCATTACACAGAATGCTAGTAGTTCTAATTACCTTCTTTATTAATGGCTGTTCTGCTTTGTATTTTAAAAGGTAAAAGAACTGTGTACTTCATTCATTCATAGAATTTTTTTTCTAAGGTTTGGCAGTAAGGTTGCTCCTTCATGTCACTTGCTTGACTTTCAATGCCAGGGCTCTAGCCATCCTTCCTGTATTACATAATGAACATTCTTCTTGAACTATTATTAGATTCAGTTCCCTTTTCTAGTGTTACTTGATATCATCAAAACCGGGATCAATTTTTTTCCATGTGTATCTGTAACAGAAGTCTTTTGGAAACAAATACAAAGCACAGCAAAACTAAGAGCGTTTAATCTTTACACATCATGGGATTAGAGGATGTGCAATGTTCACATACAGCGTCTGCATCCGTATGACTTGCAAGGATATGTACATTTATCAGTATGCCACACAATTCCAAGCCATGCAAATTACTGACCTCTGACAGGTGCAAGTAGCAAGTTAACAGTGCGTCCTACATGCAGATACATATGGGAGTCTAAGGGTAGGAGCCTGCGTCTGAAAATGTAAAATCTTCAAGGTAGAACTTGGATCGTTAGCTCACAACGCTATCAACTGAAAATATGCAAATCAGATAGCACCACATAAAGTCAAATACTGATGTTATCTTTGTTTTTTTCTACACAGATATATTTGGAAGGCTTAAACAGAACCAGAGGCCAGTGTGGCCACACACCTGGGCATACTAAATTAGATAGGTTCTGTCATACAGCTTGTAAGTTCAAGCTGAGAAAAGCTAGCAATAAAAGCACAGTCAAACGAAGGTTCATTCATGCTTCAGAAAACGTTGAAAAAGGCACTACATATAATGCACTGTAATCATCTTCTTGTCACACTTTTGAGGTCACTCATATCGTAATACATTGGCATTTTATTACAGTGTCTTCTAGGCATGTGATGCTTCTTTGTGGCTAGCTGGGTAATTTACCTGTGTCATTTATGGGGAAAGGGAAACGATCACTTTTATTATTTATCAAACCACAGAGAGGAGGAATCTTTTCCAGTTCAATGTTTAAGCAGACAAAACCCAGACCAGCAGAGCAGCTCTCTTCCTCCCTCGGCGAGTGTCTCGGCTGACCCTTTGGGAAGGGGAAGGAGAAAGGTGTGCAGGCGTAAATGGGAGCCGAGACACAACTGGAGTCAGAAACGCCTGAATAATAGATGAAAGGGCATGTATTAAATATAAGGCCGAACCGGGCGGAGGAGGGTCGGGGCAGGCGGTTGCCTCCGACCCTGCGCGGCGCCGCCGGCGGCCCCGCGGACACCGCGCTCCGCTCCGCGCCGGGCCCGACACCCCCGCGGGCGGCGGCGCTGCCCGCTCACCGCGCCAGCGGGACCGAGCGCGCACTGGGGCAGCCTCCCCCTTCCCCCTCCCCAAAAAACCAAACAAAACCACACCACCAACCCAAACCCACATCAAACCCTGATTTTCCGGATTAACCCGGAGTTACGCGCAGACCTGATGATGCTTCCTGCGCCCTCCGCGCACACCCCTCCTGCGCTCCCCTCCCCGCGCCCCCCCCGGTGCGCTGCGCCCCCGACCGCGCAGCGCCTGCCCGCACGCCGGGTGGCCGCGACCCCCGCCTGCCGCCGTCCTTCTCTCGCCCCCCGCTCCCGCACTGCCACTCCGCGCCCCTCTCCCGCCGTTTTCCCTCGCCTCCCGCCGGTCCCGTCCGCGCCCCGCGGAGCCCGCTCGCCGCCTGGCCGCCCGGCCGGGCGGGGAGCGACGTGCCCGGCGGCCAATGCCGGGGCCGCCTCCGCCGCCACCGCCCCCGCCGGCGCGGGCCAATGCGGAGCAGCGGGAGGGGTGGCCTCGCACCGCTCCCACCCTCCCTCTGGGCTTATTGAGAGTTATATCAAGAATTTCAGTTCAGAGAGAGAGAGAGAAGGAGAAAGAGAGAGCGTTTGTGAAGGAGAGAGGCTGGGAGGGAGGGAAGAAGGGAGGGAAAAGGGAAAGCGCCGCCGCTTCCTCCCGTCACTAAAGCAATAACCTATTAGGATTTTTTTTTTAATTTTTTTTTTTTTTTTAATGGGCAACTGTCACCCCAGAGCTAAAGAGGGAGAAGAGAAGCACCGCCAGACCAACTCTTGCCATTTCCAGTCAGAAGTTGCAGACTTCATGTAGCTGCCTCTCGTCTGCCGAGAGAGGGATGGGAATGGTGTGCAGTGCAGAGTGGAAAATACCCCCCCTTTAAGAAGTGCACCGGATTTTTCTCTTGCTGTTTGTTTGGGTTGTTGCGTGCCCGTTAGACACCCAAAGGATCACCGCTTCATAGGAATGAAACGTGGAGAGGATGACTAACGACAGAACTGTGAATTTGTTCCCTGGAGTTGCTAATTTGCCACCCCGAAGCAACACATATCTCGAGGACGAAGCGTTTGGCTGCTGCTGATTTCTCCAAAACTGGTGGTTTACCAGATGCATTGTGCTGTATCTGCTGGAACAGATCATTGCTTAGCTGCAGCAGATCGTCAAAGGTAGACAACTAACGTAAGTGCAAAGTTACCTTTACACTGGGATACATTACCTTTAAAGAAAAAACAAAAAGCCAACACGCAGTATATTTATCTAGGAAAGAATCAGTGTTTGGGATTCAGTTGATGGTGGTGGCAAAGGCTCACCTAGTCGCTGTCTCTGCATCCCTACCTGCATTACTCTGCTGGAAGTAATCACGGGCATCAGTTCCCGTGCAGCTTAATGCAGATGAGATTAGTGCTCAGGGACTGCCCAGTTCCGTCAAACTGTAGGTGCCGGCAGCTTTGCACCCCGGTAATTCGCGGTTAGCAGTGCATGCAAACAGAAGTCTGTCCGTCGCTTTTTTTTTTTTTCCACCTGCATTATTAGTCTGCAGTATTTATGTGTGGCAGCTGCTAACATTATCCTGAAGGGAGATCGGTGTCAATGGGGAAAGGCTACACCTTTTTTCCTCCTCATGTCGTCAGAAAATGTATATTCCCCTACCCGCCCCCCCCCCCAGCCGTAAACATGCTTCCTGCCCCTAGGTTGCATTTGGAATTTCCAGCCTCCTGATTTAGATTGTTTAAAAACAAACAAAGTTTCGGTTATTAAACAGGAGAAGTATCCGACATCTGGAGAGGAAACACTGAGCTGAGAGCGTAAGAAACTAAGTCCTGTTATTGTCTCATCAGTTAACAGGGATGTGAAGTAGCCAGTGTCGACTGCTGCAGCAGCAGCAGCATGTCCGGGTGGTTATTTCCCAGTACGATGGCTTTGGAGGGGGATGCAAGACACAGGGCACAGAGAAAAATGTGGTTAGCAAGAGCTAAAAATTATGTATGGAAGCAAACAACAAATTACATTTGGCAGCTGACACAGCAGTTGGAATCCAGAAGTAGTCCGGGAAGGTTTTCTACTTGCACCAAATGACTGGGTGGAGGAGGGTAGAGGGGGAACGCACCTTACGGATTACACGGTGTACAGAGAAATTATTCAGAAAGTACGTGTCGAAATGGTAGTTATTTTCATTCATGCTCTGTGCAAATGCAGCTGATGGGATATTGGTGCATTTGTCCAGACGGTTGCTTGTAAAAGGCAGCAGTAGGAAAATGTACTGCTGGAAGCGTGCATTGCAAAAACAAGTAGTAGTTGGAGATTGTGGATTTATCATGCCTAAAAAAACCAATAATGCTGTTCTGTGTGGTTGTGTTGACAGTGATGTCTCCAAATAAGAAATGAGATGTAATGCATCCTGCAGTCCATGCATGCCTCCTCTTGCAAATCACTCATCATTCCGCTCTGGAAACCTTTAAGTCCTAAAATCCGTGAAAAGAGAATAAAAACATTATCATGGACCTGAGGGATTTTTACCTGTTGGCTGCTCTGATTGCCTGTTTAAGGCTGGATTCTTCTCTAGCTCAAGAACTTATTTACACTATTAGAGAGGAGCTGCCTGAAAATGTACCCATAGGGAACATACCAAAGGACCTGAACATTTCTCATATCAATGCTGCCACAGGGACCACTGCCAGCCTTGTCTACAGACTGGTGTCTAAAGCGGGGGATGCACCTCTGGTCAAAGTGTCCAGTAACACGGGGGAGATCTTTACAACGTCTAACAGAATAGACAGAGAAAAACTCTGTGCTGGAGCTTCCTATGCAGAAGAAAATGAGTGTTTCTTTGAACTTGAAGTGGTGATTCTCCCTAATGACTTTTTTAGGCTGATTAAAATAAAAATCATTGTAAAGGATACTAATGACAATGCACCTATGTTTCCATCCCCCGTCATAAATATCTCCATCCCAGAAAACACTCTGATCAACAGTCGCTTTCCAATCCCATCAGCAACAGATCCTGACACAGGTTTCAACGGTGTGCAGCACTATGAGTTGTTAAACGGGCAGAGTGTCTTTGGACTGGATATTGTAGAAACTCCAGAAGGAGAGAAATGGCCTCAGCTGATTGTGCAGCAGAACTTGGACAGAGAGCAAAAGGACACCTACGTGATGAAAATCAAAGTGGAGGATGGAGGTACCCCCCAGAAATCCAGCACAGCTATCCTGCAAGTCACAGTAAGTGATGTCAATGATAACAGGCCAGTGTTTAAAGAAAGTCAAGTAGAGGTTCATATACCAGAGAATGCCCCTGTAGGCACCTCTGTAATTCAGCTTCATGCTACAGATGCAGATATAGGAAGCAATGCAGAAATCAGATATATTTTTGGTGCCCAAGTTGCCCCTGCAACCAAAAGATTTTTTGCTTTAAACAACACCACAGGGCTGATTACAGTTCAGAGGTCCCTAGATCGAGAAGAGACTGCTATTCACAAAGTGACAGTGCTGGCTAGTGATGGTAGCTCTACACCAGCCCGAGCAACTGTCACCATCAATGTCACTGATGTAAACGATAACCCTCCTAACATAGACCTCAGGTACATAATAAGTCCCATCAATGGCACAGTGTACTTATCTGAGAAAGATCCCATCAATACAAAGATTGCCCTTATTACAGTTTCAGATAAGGACACTGATGTGAATGGCAAAGTGATCTGTTTCATTGAGAGAGAGGTCCCCTTCCACCTGAAAGCAGTTTACGACAACCAGTACTTGTTAGAGACCTCTTCTTTGTTGGACTATGAGGGCACCAAAGAATTCAGCTTTAAAATTGTGGCTTCTGATTCTGGCAAGCCCAGTTTGAACCAGACTGCCCTGGTAAGAGTTAAGCTGGAGGATGAAAATGACAACCCTCCGATTTTCAGCCAGCCTGTAATTGAGCTGTCAGTTTCTGAAAACAACCGGCGTGGTCTATACTTAACAACTATTAGTGCCACAGATGAAGACAGTGGGAAAAATGCAGACATTGTTTATCAGCTTGGTCCTAATGCCTCCTTTTTTGATCTGGATCGAAAGACAGGAGTTTTGACAGCCTCCAGAGTTTTTGACAGAGAAGAGCAGGAGCGTTTCATTTTCACTGTTACAGCCCGAGACAACGGCACCCCTCCTTTGCAGAGTCAAGCAGCTGTAATTGTTACCGTGTTGGACGAAAATGACAACAGTCCCAAATTTACTCATAATCATTTCCAGTTTTTCGTATCAGAGAACTTGCCAAAGTATAGCACAGTGGGGGTGATCACAGTGACTGATGCGGATGCTGGGGAAAATAAAGCAGTGACCCTTTCCATCCTGAATGACAATGAAAACTTTGTGCTGGATCCGTACTCTGGAGTTATAAAGTCCAATGTTTCCTTTGATCGAGAACAGCAGAGCTCTTACACCTTTGATGTTAAAGCAGTGGATGGAGGGCAACCTCCTCGCTCTTCTACAGCAAAAGTAACCATAAATGTGATGGATGTTAATGATAATAGCCCCGTTGTCATCTACCCACCTTCTAATACTTCTTTTAAGCTAGTGCCACTCTCAGCGATTCCAGGATCGGTGGTAGCCGAAGTCTTCGCTGTGGATATAGACACTGGCATGAACGCTGAGCTGAAGTACACAATTGTAAGCGGCAATAACAAGGGTTTGTTTCGGATTGATCCAGTGACAGGTAATATCACCCTGGAAGAAAAACCAACTCCTAATGATGTGGGGCTGCATCGCCTAGTTGTCAACATAAGTGATTTGGGTTATCCCAAATCCCTGCATACTCTTGTGCTTGTATTTCTGTATGTAAATGATACTGCTGGAAATGCCTCTTATATTTATGACTTGATACGCAGGACTATGGAAACACCCCTGGATCGGAACATAGGGGACAGCAGCCAACCCTACCAAAACGAGGACTATCTCACGATCATGATTGCTATTGTGGCAGGTGCCATGGTTGTCATAGTGGTGATATTTGTCACAGTTCTTGTTCGATGTCGACATGCATCCAGATTCAAAGCTGCCCAGAGGAGCAAGCAAGGTGCTGAGTGGATGTCTCCCAATCAGGAGAACAAGCAAAACAAGAAAAAGAAAAGGAAGAAAAGGAAATCTCCAAAGAGCTCTCTTTTGAACTTTGTGACCATTGAGGAGTCCAAACCTGATGATGCAGTTCATGAACCTATCAACGGGACAATAAGCCTTCCAGCAGAGCTGGAGGAGCAAAGTATAGGAAGATTTGATTGGGGCACAGCACCACCAACAACCTTTAAGCCTAACAGTCCTGATCTTGCCAAGCATTACAAATCTGCCTCTCCGCAATCTGCTTTTCATCTCAAACCTGACACTCCAGTTTCAGTGAAAAAGCACCATGTGATTCAGGAACTCCCGTTGGACAACACCTTTGTTGGTGGTTGTGACACCCTTTCCAAACGCTCTTCCACTAGTTCAGATCACTTCAGTGCCTCAGAGTGCAGTTCCCAAGGAGGCTTCAAGACAAAGGGCCCCTTACACACCAGACAGGTAAACGAGCACTTTTACTGGTCTATAAGTACTGCATACAAGTGCCCGATCAACCAGTATTAAAAGTGCCACTGTGTTGTGAGGTGTTTTTTGTTTCAGTCTAATTTAATTTAGTTAACATTATGGGGGGAACAAAAAAAAACCAAAAAACCACCAACAGAAAAACCACAACCAACAAAATCAAAACACCAAAACAAGAACAAATTAACAAAAAAACCCTTGACCCCTTTATCATTTGCCTGGGGCTTAACCATGTGTTTGCAAAATGCATCTGATACTTTGGGTTTTGAAGAATAGTTATCGTTAACAATATGTTATGCCTCTCTGCATATGCACATACATGTGCATAAACAACACTGAAAACCAACTTTTTTTTTTCTCCCCAGTACTTGACTGTCCAAATGTAAAAGTTATGGAAGAACTGTTTCCCTTATATGCTAAATTTCAGTGAGAATATTTGACTGTTTCAAGATTGAAGGGATATGTACATTCTGTTTGAAATTTCGAAGTGAGTTGGCTTGAGTTTCTTTTACAGTTCAAGCTGATTTGGAACCTTGATAAGTTAGTGTTAATAAAGGGGTGAATTGGTGAATTTGTTTCCCTAACAAATGCAGCCAAATTTCCAAGCTACTGCATCAGTGAAGCACGTGGTTTATTGGTAGGATATAACTAAGCCATACAGAAGTCTTCCTCTGTTTGAGTTCAACATGCTTTTGTTGTAATAGATGAAAGTTGGTATTGCATAGGCAGTTTGCTGCGTATTTTAAAAAATGGACAAAACATACTTTTGAAAGGAATGCTTTCTCTGAATACATCTGAATTATGCAGGGGAAAAAAAAAAAGTCAGTCCATTGTTAATATTTTCTCATCTTAGTAATGCATAAGCGATCTGTCATAGCTCATTTTAAATTGTGAAACACGCCATATGAAGAGGGATTAGGAGGCTGAGAGACTCATATTTCAACCAAATCCAGCATTAGTTGTTTGTTTTTTGTTTTTTTTCCTTAGGTCTAATAATTCCTTGCTAATAAAGATTTAAACGCGGTGCTGTCTAATTTATTTTATGGGTGCTTGTCTGCGGCCGCCGCGGGAGCGGCCGCGCCGCCCGTAGATGGCGCTGAGGCACCGCGCGGCCCGCGCTGGCTCCGCGCCAGCCCTGCAGTAGCTGGGGGAGGAACAGGGGGCTGGGGCTGGGGGGTGGGGGAGAAGATGTGGGGGGGGTGGGGTGGGAGGGAAGGATCGAGCTGATATTCCAGCCAAAGAACCTTTTATTTAATGGTAGTTGCACTGGAGCGGTCAGTAGTTAAGTTTGCGTCTTTGCAAGGCGGCTTCCTCCGTGCTCCGCTTTCGCCGCAGAGACTCGGTCGGTTGCTGGGGAGTCGCGTCCGTGTTCCTTGCGGGCGCTGTACCCTCCAAGTGATAGTGTTTTGTCTGAATTTAGTAGGGATGTGAATCCTTGGGAATCAAGTGAGACACGTTTAGGGTTGTCTTTGCAAAAAGATTTTGACAATAGCCAAGTTTAGGTAAAGTCATCCTCTTGCTGTTGCATTAGCCTTATCTGAGATGAATGTGACGTTCCCAGGACTATGTCTTGACTTTGGGTTTCTGTAAGGTGTCACACTAACAAGATGCTAAGAGTAAAACAAGCGCTTTTGAGACAGTTCTATTAAAGTAACTGCTCTAAACCAACTCATACTTACAAAGACACACTGAAAACACCACAGAAGAATCTCACAAAACCTTAGTCTTTCTAAAGGACTTTATAGAAGGGTATACTCCTCAAGACATCTTCAGGCTCTTACACAGCACCATACTCATACTGTCAGCTTAAGTTAAAAAAGAACTGATTTTTAAAAATCCCAACAAATTTATAGAAGAGCTCTGTGTAATCTGTGGTTACTCAGCTGAAGTTTTCTCCCCAGTTTTAGTTACAAAATATAACACCCCCAAACCACAAATTCCTTTTCTGTTCTGCAATGATTTTGATTTAGCTTAAATTAGCTTTCCAAATTCTATTGGGAATGTTAGACTTAACCCTCCATAGTATCTAGAGGCAGTTAAGACCCCAAAAATTATTTACCTGACTGAATATATAAACTCTGGACAGTGAAATTGAACATAAAGGGGAAAAAAACCCCACACCCAAACAAAAACTATTGGCAATATTTCCACAGTTATCTGTGTTCATTACATTAAATACACTGGTGTCCATTTAATAATAATAATAACAATATCAGTCAGTATACCTGTATATGGATCTGATTCACATTTCACTGAGGTCTTAGTGAATAATTTTTGAAGTCAGCAGATATGATTTGCATTGTTTCCTGCAAAATCCGTATTATTATATGTAACTAAAAATATAAGTCTTAGGTAGACAGTTATCTAAACTGAGCTTCTGTATTTTTATTATGTAAGAAAAGAGATAGTGTCTTTTTTTTTTTTTTTTTCTCCCAATGATGAGTGTTACAGGACATAACCTTTTCATGCTTCCTTTTCAGTTTTGGCTGGAGGAGTATAGTCAGCAATAGTAGTAATCATCAATAGTATTTGTGTCTTTTCTGTCTGTAATTCCTGAAATTAGGATGCATCTTAGCTAATATTCGTTGGCACAGGAGTTAAATATACCTTCATAGGTGGTTTTTTTTTTTTTTAGATTTGTGATAGACTATGGCCTTTAAGCAAAGTATTCAGACTTAAAATCTTAATGGATAGTAGTGTATGCTAATGCCACAGTGTCTGAAAAACATTTTTAAAATTTCTTTAGGAAGCAACATGTAGTTCTGTGCCACTGTACTGTTTTCTTCTGGTTTAACGTAACTAATTTCTCTGTATCTAATGTTAGTTGTGTTTAATTACACATATATTCAGAAAATTGTCTTGATGTGCTTTGCAAAGAGTGCAAGAATTGTTGTGGAGGATGTTATAGTAGGAAAACATGAAATACTGGTTTAATACATATCTAAGAAATACTAGCATTCTCCATTTTTACTTACATTTTTTTTTTCAGTCCAAGGTGAATATACATGCAATATATCTTGCAGATATATTAATATTAATAGAGAGGTAAAACCTAAGTCCGCACTTGGACTTGATTCAAGCAAAATCCTGTTACTTTTGATGGGACTTTGGCCCCAGAAATCTGTTAGAACTGCGTCCTAAGTCAAAAAACTTTTAGAATTAAAAAATATATTGTTCAATAAAAACCTCTTAGGTGCCTTTTTTTTTTTTTTTTTTTTTTTTTTGGTGGCATTTTCTGTGCAAACATCAGTACATTTAGTGGAAATTCTGTGGTTAAGTCTTCATATGTAACTTTGAATTGTACAGACTGACGTTTCACAACTACCCAGTATAAAAACCAAAGCCTCCTTCAAGTGCCTATCTTGCAGTAAACCTGGTGGATGCTCTGAAAGGAGCATTTTTGAATACTTGAACTTGGGATTGTTCTAAATGCTAATTCACGTAATTAGGAGTATGGAAAGGATGTTGCATACCACCAGCTCATATAGCTAAGCTTCCAAAATGAGTGTTATGACTCATAAAGAATACTGAAATCTATGCAGGCTTCCCAATCAGTGTTCTTTTCAGTATTTGATTGAACTTTAAAATGCACTTCAAATTACTAAGTCATTACACCAAAAAGCTATACAGAAATACAGAAGAAGACGACATGTATTCTTCTGTATGAAAGACTTCTTTTGAAAAGCAAATAAACAGACAAAAACTCCTACTCAATGTCATTAGATTAACAATAGATTAAATAAGAAAAGAAATTAGGGCAAATTTACTGTGGTTATCCCAATTTTAAATTATAACAACTTCATTTAATCAGATTTAAAGCACAGCAGTGACAAATAACACAGGTTTAAAAATATGTATCAGTATGGGTTATGGGCAAAACCTTCAGTCTTCATTCCTAATCAAATAGGATTTAGGTGTGTGCTTAACTTTCATTTAAAGTGGTGGGACTGAAGTAGTTCTTTAAAAGTCCAAATGACTTCAGATGTTGTCTTCAAGAAAGACAGCTGTAAGCACACTATAAGCACTTTTCTGAATCAAGGTGATAATTTATAAATTTTGGAAATGTGCACAGTTCTAGTAGATTCAGGAAAGCTAAATATATGTTAACACTGTCCATTTATTTCTGTGATCTAATGGCAGAAATTAAGGATTTGGGGCTTGACTGACACATTAAATGCATTCCATATTAAAATATATTTTTAATCTTAAAGTCAGTAACATAAACTCTGTGAAGGTTGCTTTACTCCTTTTTCAGTCAATGGACTTTTTGCCTGATCAAGGAACAAGTAACCAGGATCCCACTGATCAATGCACATAACTTAAGCTTTATGTGGAAAATGTAATTAATGTTCTTACTCTGGAGTTTTTAAATTTGTAAGTTTAGGTTTATGTAAGAGAAAAGAAAAGCTGAAAACATTAATGACTCCTAATTTGATACGCTGAGACTGGCAATTTCAAGGTGCATAAGTTGATGGAAATCTGCATTGGAACAGCAGTGCAGAGCTTACGTCACCTGCAAATATTAAAATTCTGTAACCATAGCATTCCACAATTCTGTGTGCAGTATTATTTTTAGTGGCCTTGTTTTACCTCTTAGTATAAATAAAAAAATTAATTCTGGTTTTGATTTTGTATGCTTAAGTTGGTTTATGTGTTAGCATGGATATTGGTCTTGAGAGAGGAATAGTCACCTGGAAAAGTGTCCTGCATGTAAAATTTAATTGGTTTCTATTTCTGTATATTTATATATTTACACTAAAATATCAGAAATTGTGAAAATGTACCGTGTATTTTTTTCTATTGTTGTATAACTGAAAAATAGGTTAACAGATTTTGCTCAACTGTCTAAAGAAATTCATCTTTGAGCTGAGACCAAGCATGGAAAATTTCAACTGAAAAGAAAAATTTTTTAGAAAGTTAAGAGCATGTGAAAACTGGGGGTTATAATGGGAATCTGAATATAACCCTAAGCTATAATACCATTTTCAGTAGTGAATGTAGACATGCTAAACTCGAGTAGGAACATTTTGTTTCTATCTGTATACAGATAGAGACAGTAAAAGCTTAGGAAGCTTCATTTATCTTTAAACATTTCCCATGCAAAAGATTTTTATCAGAATCACTGAAGTTTCATGTGTCCCAAGCCAGAGTTTCACATATGCTAAGAAATTTGTGTCACGCATGTGAGTGAAAACTGGATCTTGAGAGTTTAATACTCTTGGAATTTTGTGATAATGTTCTTTTGTGTGTAAGAACAAGGGAGGATCTTTTTAGTTTCCATTTCAGATTCTCACTTCCAAAGAATCTCTCCTAGCACAGCAAAACCATATCAGCCACACTTTATTGACAGCAATTTTATTGTAGCTAGAGGCTTACAGTAAGCTGTTTATTGCTGTTCCCTAACATGGTTGACAGCAATTGGGGAATTAATTTTCTTGCCCCTGATGTGCTTTCTTGAGTATAAATGACAGATGTTAAAGATATGAAAACTGTGACCCATTTACATTCAGCAACTCCTTATCGGTGCAGTGTGCCTGTTTGAAGTGAAGGTTTGAGGTCCTGAGTAATACTGCTTCATCAGTTCTAGTATTCTTATTTTTGCCATAGAACTGTTTACCTAGATATATACAGTCCAAGGGCCAGATACATAGTGCCTAATGGACTGATCCTCCTTTAGGCAACTTCTGTTCCGGAATAGCTGAGTTGAAGGTTCACTTATTTCAGGAGATGCTGTATCTTTTTACTTTACCATTTAATTGCACAAAACATATAGTAAGTAACTGACAAAATGTACATAGAGTGTTGTGAAAGATCTAACAGAAATTACAGATGATATCTGAGTTTTTGGTTTCACTTCTTCCACAGAACACCTTGGTGGTCTGGAAAAATCTATACTCTTAAGTTTTCTTAGTTGCTACTCAAGTACAACATCTTACATGCATTCTGTAATGTTCATGTCTTCACTGAATAAAAACCTAACCTACAGACAATCCTTACTTTTTTTTCCCACTTTTATTATTGCTTTGTCTTTTCAGTGTGTGGCACAATGTATGTAAAGTGATTTATCCCCATACACTGATGTGGGCACTTGGTCAGTTCATTTCTGGTTTACATGAGATAACATTCCACTGAGTGGAAAAAGATTTCACAGTCTGTAGATAAGAAATGAATTCATACTATCATATTTTACTGGGAGAAGGACATCTTTTGTTTGTTTCTGTTGGCATCTTTTAGAAAGACATTTGAAATGTAAGGGGGTTTAGCATCTTGCCTGAGATTTTAAGGGCTTGTATAGGCAGAAAATGCATATCATTTTAAATGTTCCTTTATAATTAAAATAGTATGCAAAAAAGTTCTTTCTGATAGAGCCGAAATAATTTTGTTGTAATGGATTGTTTTCTAGTCAGCTATAAACTCTCTCTTGAGGCAGAAATAAGATATTTCTGATAGAAGACACGTCAAATTGATATTGCTACACTTTTTCATTGGTCATACAATAATGAAAATTTCAAATAAATAAATAAATGAATTGTTCTGAATAGCAACATTGTTGTAGCCATACAAAACCATGTGTAGATTATTCCTGGAACCACTGGGATTCAGGAAAAGATAGGGACTACTATAAATTTGATACAAAATTCATATTGATCTTACTAAAATATCTGGAATGTCAAGTCTTGGAATGATTTGGCCTGCATTCTCAATTTAGCGTTTGGGGTTTGTGTGTACCCAGCATTATATGTGATAATACAGAGAAAGGTAGTTTGTAGTGATTTGTAGTCATAGTGAGGAGTCTAAATTGTACCAGTCTCAAAAGTTATCCATTCGTTGTTTCTTCTTCTTGTTTCTTTTGCAGCTAGTGAGTTACGGGGGAGATTTGTTTTGAAGTCTTGGCATGGGTTGTCCTGCATCTTCTGTTGCACAGAGAGAAAACTGAGTAACAGAGCATTTGTCAGGATTTGTTGGCATGTAGAATCTGCAGTTTCTTATGACCTGATGTTGTAGCTTTGCCATTTCTTTTGTGAAATGTCACACTGAACTTTTTGTGCGTAAATATGAATATTATTACTTCAAAGTTGTTTGTAATATGCACACTTCTTGTTACAAGAGGAATATAAGGAGCCTTTTTTTAGAGTAACAGTTCAGCATTGGAAGCTAAAACAAAGCTGGAGTAAATCTCCTGATTTATGCCATCTGCAGCCCTTTCTGATATTAACTTCTTTATAAAAGCAAAAGGATGATGTTTAGATAATATTTCCAAAATCTAAAAAATATTTAAAATTATTCAGTAATGAAATTAATTAAAAATAATTTTACTTTTAGCTTAATTTAATAAAATGTGGAGGATCAGCTGTCACATTTTTCTTCCTTCCTTTGTTTCCTCCCCCAGGTTCACAGAAACAAGATCTAGGTAAAATTTTAAAAAAGCAACATCTACCCAGTCAAATAAATTAAATTAAATATTCTCACTGGCTGATAGTTGAAAAAGGGGAGGTGTTGTTATTGATGTGTAAAACACTCTGTTGCCTGAAACCGATATTCATTCATTTGCTCTCATTCCTTCCATTCAAATTGTTAGATACAGCTACTTTATTTGTAATTCTGCAGGATGTTCTTAGTACCTCCTAAGCTTTCATGTGTTGCTAGTAAGAAAATTCTGTGGTTGATTTTCTTAATTACTAATTTTCTTAATTGTTAAAAATTCTTGAATTTTCCATCAAATTGAACTAATTTAGCCTATGCCTTCCAAGATCATACAACCTTTGAAACACCAAAAAAAGAGGAAGACTGCATTTCACTTGTAAAATAATATTTGCCATTCCTACAACCTCTTCTTGATTGGTGGGTAGCAGTAGTAGCTCTTAAATGGCTAAACCAAATAGATGCAAATTTCTGTCTCATTGTCTGTGCTTCTTCAAAGCACATAAGGTTATGAAGACAATTGTGTTTCTGATGTAAAGGTTCATTAGGATACATATGTCTCTTATTTATGACCTATATATCAAATTGTTATAGAGAGTTTTCATTGAGATTTCTTAAGAGCAATAAAGAATTTGCTACTGAACTTCATGGTGAAATGCTTTCACTGCTGAGTTCTATCTTCTCTTACCAGTATTTTTTCGAAGAAAGTTTTCACGGAAGTTTGGTATTGCAGGAAGGGGTCCTGAACTCCAGAAAAGGGTGCAGAGTAATGAATTTTAAGAGAACACCTGCTTCCTGTGTAGAATAGGATGCAGAGCCCAAAAGGGAGTGATATTTGACTTGTGGTTTTAGTGGCTTTACATTCAGTGGTGTAGGCTTTGGGAATACTGTTGTTATGCCGGTCCCTCTTCTTGCAATATGTAATGAATATATCTGAACATTGTGGTTACTTCAGATGCCCAACCTCTGACTGTGGATCTGGCCTTATTTCTGTAAAGTATGTTCACAAAAAGTATAATCTGTACAGTTTTCACCAGTATACTTAGTTTGTAGTGCCTGTGCACACATTTTTCTTCTGTTGACATTATGGTGGGATTCACCTTGCCAGAATTATAATTGTATATCAAATCTAATCTGCTAAACTGGGTTCATGATTTACTCCACCCTGAAGAAAATACAGTGGTTTAATCTGGTTGCCAAAGCTGATGAACACAGTTGGGTGAATATATCCCACATCCAGTGAAGAGTATGATTCAGGGTGATCCATATTCTTCATTATCCAGTTTTCTCACTGAAGTCAAGAGACAGGTTTTAAGGTTATATATTTCTTTAAGTGAAGATAATATTTGAATAGTGCATATGGGAAAAAAAATGTATAATGTACACAGTTTCCTTTGAGAAAGTCTTCTTTAGATTATGGCTCAAATTCAAAGGCTCCCAAGTCAACAGAAGGATTCTTGCTGACTTTTTATTAAAATGTTATCTGGCCATCAGCTATCTATTTTAGAAGATGGTGCAATGAAACAACACTTACTTTGTTTTGAAGCTGTTCCAAGTATTTCTGTTTCTCTCGCACTTCGTTTTCCTTGGTACCTTGTTCTGTGAACATAAGTACAGGCCATTCACATTATAGTGTAAAAATGTTTCTTCTACCTCTCTGTAGCCATGTGTCTATACCAGTATGAATCTTCAGTTAGTTGTCAGATTTCAGTTTCACCATTGCAAAAGTACAGGTCAAAATGTCAGTGACTTTACCAGCTAGTGCTACCAGTAAGAAAATTTGAAATTACTTTCAGTTTATGACAACAGTACCCTGAAATATGCATCATACTGAAGTTTGTGGCATCTAGAGCAGCAGGAGGTAGGCAGTGTACAAGTTGCAAAGCCCTAGTTATCTCCCAACTGCCAGATAAATAAATAACAAACAAAACACACACACACACACACCACCCCCCCAAAACCAGCAAATGAAATCTGCATCTGTCTAAAGACAGTAAACCTTTCCTGTTCAAATTTAATCTCTGTACTGTACAGGAGATGGACTTTGCTGTTTGAGATTTCATCACTTTCATTGCAGAAAGCTGTTACATCTGTCAAATATTTCAGTTTGAAATGAATGCTTGATTTTTTTTTCCTTTGTATTCTACAAGAGCGCCAGGTCGTCAATCAGCAGAAGTACAAAATGAGACAACATAGGTGATCCACTGCTGTGATTGGCATTTTATTTTTATTTTACAACATCTTTTTTCTTCCTCAAACTTAAAAACGGCAGTGTTTGTCTATACTGTGGAAGCAGATGATGAACATGCATATAGTGAAGGGAAGCCATCCATGATTCACCTGAATCCTGTTTGTCATGGCTACTCATGCGCATTCTATTGAGAGTACTGGTACAATCCAGCTGGTTAGTGAAGCTGCAGGTGACTACCTGTGTGAATTGTGTGAACATCAGTCATGTGAGTGAGATGAAAATACGTTGCATGAATGGGATTTAAATGCACTTAGTTTTGTTATTCTTCATCCTTGCTTTAGTATTAAAGCATTGAAACAAAAGTCATGCAGTATTTAGCTAGTAGAGCAGGACCACTTCTGAGTGGGCTGTGTAAGCTTTCAAATTGCCTCCATGCAAAGAGGTGGTCCAAAACCTTCAGTAAATAATATGAATCTTGTAATATTTTTAGTTTTCTGATCTGTTTCACTGGGGGAGAATCAGAACTTTAGTTTCTTAATGTGATTTTTCAAATTCTGGACTAAGAAATTGGCAAAATCATAGGTACTTCTTGGGAGTTTTGAGGAACTGATGCACTTTTATACTTTTGTGATGTGTCTATTGGTAGCATCCCCAATGAACATCTCTGGATTTCACTGGTACTCAGATTTGCTGAAATCTAGGCTTTGGCCTTCTTCTGTGCTTTAGGAGTTCATTAAGAAATATTCTAATCTGTCACAGAATACCAAGAAACTAATGGCTTGTGGAATATTTTAGTCTTCAAGCTTCCACTATAAATGATATGGAAAGTAGTGTCATTTGTCTGATGCTTAAATACATCGCCTTCCTTTATGAGATACTGTCTCTGTCCTTTCTGGTTTCTCTTTTTAATCTCTTCTTTTATTCTCTGAGGACACTTATTTTCGTAAAACATATTTATGCACATATTAGAAATCTGACTTTTCTCCTCAAATGAACAGTACCACAGTAAAGAAGTGGCACATTTTATGTTCGATCTGTTCTAGTACACCTGACTTATAAGTCCCCACAAGGACTTTTAATGAACCAACTGGCTTCTTTAAGATTCAAAGATTTGAAGCGTGTGGAAGAGTATCTGGATAGAAGCATAATATGGGAAGTAAAACACTTGCTGAACTAGATAGTTTCTTGCTGTGTCTTGTTCCAGTAGCTTTAAAAGAATCAAAATAGAATTAATTATACTTATTAACACAAATCTGAGAAGAAAATCCCTTCCTGCAGTATGTAACATATGTTTTCTTTCTCTAGCTTGGTGGCATACTAAATTTGGATTGCAAAACTGAGCTGAACGTTTGGCAGAAGAGAAACTAGGGCCTAACTTCAAACCATGGATTTGCAGACATGTTAGCTGGGACAGCTCCTTGTTATAATTGGAGGTAGTAAATGTATTAGCCCTAAGCTGCATCTCAAAATCTGAAGTATGTTTAATTTGGTGGACTTGTAAGGTCTAAAAGCAGGTATAGGGAGGACAGAGGTGGTTGATTTTGTAGTGTTACGCACTTGCATTTTAATACTGACCGAATCTGATTTACTTGTATTTGACACTATATAGGCATCCTAAATGTGCACAATAGCGGAGTTAAACTAGTTTCATATGGTATAATGGTTTTTATGAATAATTTTCCTTCATACCAGTTAGTATCTCCATTATAGACATACACAACTAATCATCTTCATATATCTTCACCTACAGCTGCTGAAGTACTGGGCAATACAGTAGTACCAGCTAGCTTCCTGCATTTCACCATCTGTTTTTGTAACCATCCTGTATCTATTGTAGTTGAAACAAGTTGACAGAATAATAATTTAATATATGTTTTACTTGATTTTTTTCTTTTCTCTATATAAGATCATTCATACTTTTCTTTCATATGGCATAATAAATTCACAATTTGTAATAGGTGTGGTATCTCACAGACTTATGATAGAAAATTGATTCTGAAAACAACAAAAAATGGAAATTACAAAGCAGAACAGTGGACATTGCAACTCAGTAACTCAATAGTGCTTCTTGAATTCAGCAATTTGAAAGTGAGGTTGGGATAAGAGATGAAAACACTCATATATCTTTACATTTCAAAATGGTTAAAAGATGACTGGACTTGTAGGAAAACTTACTCTTTTAATAAGAAAGCTGGCAGTGCTGCTGTGATATACAGATAGTCAGTGATCCTTGAGTCTGCTGGTTTAAAGCAGCGTGCTGAGCACTTTTCAGCAGAGCAGTTTCATTCAAGGCCTGCTGAAGCTTTATAGATGGTGCAGATCACCTCCAGACAAAGTACTTCTTGTTGTCATCTCTGATTTTTATCTGTCATAAATATGTCACAGAAGTAATTCCAATTTCAGAACTTTCATTCTTCGGATCAGTGGTGACCACATTAAAAAACGTTCTGTATTCACTATCTCACCCTTGGTATTTTTTAAGATTTTTGTGTCCTAGTGCTAAATACCAGCCTTAGTTGTATTCAGTATTGTGGAAGTTCATTTCACTAAGCCTCTAGCTACTGAAAAGTGTTATATCTTACATCCTGCTGTCCTCAGTAAAGATAGTTGGGGGTCAAGAGAGCCCTCTGCACTGTATGTTCTTGCTTTCTGCTGCTCATGACATTTGGAGTCTGATAGGGATGCTGTGATAGCACCTTCAGTTAAAAGCCATAGGCAACAAGTCTAACAAAGAGATCCTTAAGAGTGCTTAACATTATGCCATTGCCTTGCTAGAATAAAACCAGCATGAGAATAAATTGCCTATGTTAGCTTAATTGTGATCTTCACCTAAGTGCTACTCATGAGACCTTAGACCTAGCAGAAAGCCCTAGCTGAAGTATCGAGGCGGTGTTTTGGGGTTGCTTAAATTTATCATATTTCTGTTAGAAAACTCTGACACAATTCTATTGAAGCTTTAAAGCCTTAAGCTTTTGCTGCTTGTTTGGGTTTTCATTACCTTTACATCTATACAGTTACACAGATAATGAAAAACCTGAAAAACCTGCATATCGCTGCATGTAACACAGCTCTGCAACTATTTACCACCTCATTAGTTTTTTCAATAGCAAAGATAAGTTAGCATTCTGTCAGGAAATTTGAACCACCACCACATCCTGCTGAAGCTTATAAGGCACGGCATAGTAGCTTTCACAAAGTGCATTAACTCGCGCCCCAGAAGATGCAATCTTGTAAACACAAAAAAATCATACGGCTTTTTTTATCTGTGAAGCCAATATGTTTGACATTTTGCCCTGTAAATGTTGCTGCTCTTAGAAATCTTTTAAAATACAAAGGGAGAAATTCTGTTTTTGTCTTATTCTGCACAATGCAATTGACTGAAGTGAACCTAATCTCATTTACATTTGGACTGTGCTGTGAGCTCATTACTCTTTAAACATGATGTGCCTTTTTCTCATTTTTGTTAGGATTCTGTCTTCACTGAAAAAGAAAAGGTGCGTTTTACATCAACATTGCTATTGTGAGGTATCTGTCTAAATGTAAAATCCTTGTGGAGACAAGAAGCAGGTATTTGTACCTTGATGTAGCTTGATGTAGCTGGTTGAGGTCAGCCCCAAACAGTACACCTGGGGTTGATTTCTACTGGCTATGTACACGTGAAACTACAATACCTTATAATTAGCAGGATTTTATGCTGCCTTTTACACTATCTTGCAATGAGATGCCTTTGAGGATATGAATTATATATACTTATTCTAGGTCCTTGAAGACTTCTAAAGTGATGCAAAGTGAGTCTCTGTCCTACTGTCTGGCAAAATAATTTAATTTAGTCCTGTGGCTGAATTAAAGTCCTTGAACTTTCTCATAAAATCCTGGCAATATTAGCAGAGGTACGCCTAAGAGTTCCTGCCAGTCTTGCATCACTGTCTGGTATAATTCCAATGCATTTTCATAACTTTTCAATGTTCTACAAAAGTTCAAAAATCCAAGAAGCTCTGAGGCATTGGTACTACTGTTTTGCAGAGTATGCATGATTGCAATAATGATTGTGGCTGTATACAGTGGCTATAACTCAGTATCCCCCATGAGGAGTAATATGAATCATCAAAATCAAACATTAATTCAACACAGGCCTTTACCTCATGATGGTGATGGTATAGATGTGCCTATATTAAACTTTTACTTCTGAAAGATGCAATGTTTTATAGGAAGCAGGATCAGAATAAAACATTTGTGCAGTAGTTTGAGTAGTTTGAGTCTACCTGCTCCTAAGAATGCAGTTTTCAGTGTGTGTCTCCCACCTTTGTTAAAGTGTCTCCTGAAACTGTCCATAGGTTTGGGTTGCTGTCAACTGATGGGTTACCATTGCGTTAAAAAACACCTATAAGATTTGCTGTTCATTTTAGATAACTAACCTATGTAAACAGTTGTTTTATACATCTTAAAATGTTTGTATAGTGTTGCCTCATCTCTTTATTTTTGAACTAAACTGAATGACATTTTTTGGTATTTTCTACTTCTGAACTTTCTAGGTAATTTGCTTTCTTCATATACTGCACAGATGCTCAACCCATCCTCTCCTTTCCAATATACTTTTTTAATTTATTATTCTTTTCCCCGAAAAAACCTACCTACAAGACCACGTATTTGATAGAGTCAGTAGTTACTCAGTGTGAGACATTTCCCATTCCTATGTGATACCTGCTGGCTGCTGCTTCCAATTATGCCATATGCTGGAAAGCTAAACTGTTGAAGTATTGGAGTCAATGTTATAATCAAACTAGTTAAGAAGGTAGCAGTGTGTCTCATAGAGGGTTCTGGACAATGTCTGATTTCTGCCATAAGCAAAATACTGACAAGTTCTCCTTTGTTTTGCTGCTTTTTCACGTAGCAGAGAGCTAGACATACATTCATTATATTGTAAAATCATAACCTTCGAGATCTTGCTGAATCTGCCCTACAGCTATTTATCACATGATTGCAGGGAATGAAAATAGCATTCTTCCTTCTACTAGGAATATGTTGCTTACCTTGGGGCAAGACAGTGCATAATTTTATGTGTGCCTAGTTTTGCTGTTATATATAGACTGTTTTGAGATGAATCAGTGTTATCATTTCCCAGAATTTAGCACTAGTGTTTTAGCAGAGCCAAGGAGATTTCATATACTTAGGCTCTTGGCTGCAGAAGTGACCAGGGATCGCAAGTCTGAGTCACATTTATATTAATGCCATTTTATAGTCATGGACAAAGGCCAAAAAGATTCCAATATAATTTACTCCCAAGTTAATTTTTTAAATTATTATTATTTTTTTGGGTTAGGGCTGCATGTAGTAGTCTCTAAGTAAAGGCTGTCTCAACCCAATTCTTATTTCACATCCATTCATTTCACATTTGTGAAATTACAGCTATTTTAGTGGTGGTTTTGCTTATAATCAAGAATTGAATCTGTCTCCTCATGTTTGTGCAATAATCCCTTTTTCTTCCTCCCACAAACAGGCAGCAGGAGACTCAAAGATCTGTAAGACTCTTTTTTCCTTCCTATGGCACCTGTCCTTCTCTTGCAGCTTCTTCTATAATATCTGGTTTTTAATAAGAAACATTAATTCACTTTAAATAGCAAGAATTAGGGAAGCTAAAGATCAGTCCCTCTCCACAATTACCAGCTTTACTATTGAGTTGCTTCTCTGATGCTTTTATAAGCATAGCCCTACTCTAGCTGTGTACGTAATATGTTGACTTCTTGACTTCTTGAGTTACTTTTTCTACAGGGTGACCTGCAGTGTGTAGTTGTAAGCACATTCTCTGATACTACATGGACACTTTCTGTCATGGCCTACTTTTGAGCTACTTCTGCATATAAACAGCATTTTTTAGGTATTGTCTAAAGATAAACATTTCTGGAATAAAATTTCTGAGCTATGTAAATTGAGTTTCAGTTTTTAGTGTCTGCAATATTTTAATATCTTAAGAACAGCAGGACACCTTGAGATTTACAGAAAAAGACTGAGGCATATATTGATGAAAACAGTTGAATATGCAAGTCAGGTTACATCCACTCTTTTAAGGAATAAAATACTTCCAAGTGTAGTTGTTTTGATAATCTGTGCCCTTAACAGGAACTTGTACAGTTATAAAATAAGTCTTGTTATCTTCTAATCACAAGGGACAAAATAATCACGTTTCTAGTCCGGGGATCTGTGGTATTTTTAAGTAGTTTAGCACAATGGTGAGATGCATTATACTTAATCCAAACCCACTGGAGCTTCCTGTTATGCTGTTCCAACTTGCTGTGTGAATTTTCTTCAGGAGATTCCTAGTTGTTCAAAGCTTAATAAAAACAGACATCAGAAAGGGAGAAGTTTGTTTTTATTTCCTTCTGGACTGAGTTAGCTGTCCCAAAGTATAGGTACAAAAGCAGCAGTCCACTTTTTCAGACTTAGCTGAGGCAAAAGTACTGTTAAAAATTCTGCAGAACATACTTAGGCAAAGTTCTCATTAATTTTATCGAGAATTCTGCCTGATTAAGACCTATTTCCCCCTTATCTCTTGAGTTTCTTGGACAAACTGTGTTGACTCTGATCCAGTAAAGTAGAGCAAGCTTCTTAGTCTGGCACATTAAATAAAAGCTCAACTTGGAAAGGAATGCAGTATTTTGTCTTTGCATTTCAATCAAGTTGAAAGTCCTTATTTTAAGCTTAGGTTGAGAATCATCTCCCAGTAATGTAACATCATTTACAAAGTCAGGTGATAGATGCTTGGAATGAATACAAGAGTATGATGGGGCACGTCTTTCCTGTTATAAAAACAAAAATAAATAAATGCAGCGTTCAGACTTCCTTATTCAGTTCTGTCAGGCAACTCTGTTCTGACTTCAGTGCTCCTGCTGTTTTGAATCATAGACCTTTCTTTTAACACAGACAGGGTATTATACTAATCTGCATGCTGGGAAAAAGTCCAGTTGAGAGTAGCTGGAAGTCTAAAGGAAGTTTCACTCTTGACCACAGCCCGGTTTTGAATCAAGATTGCTAATGTAGGAAGGCTTGCTACCTCGGGAGTTGTGGAGAGGTCTTGCACCTCTTTCTCAAAACTCTTTTGTCCTTTTTTCCTCTCATTTTGCTTCCTTTTCTCTGGGAAAATTACTCATATTTCTACCAGTTTAATAATCAATAGAGTTGGACTTTTTATTTCTAAAACAAATGAAGATTTTTTTTTCACTTGTACTGAGACTTAAATCTCTGCCAAAAATTTGAATAGAAATCACCAACTGTTCTGTAATTTTTAAGCAATTACTGTTGAATACACACACTGCGATTCAAAATGCTGTAAATACATAAAACTTCAGCAAGAAAAATCTAGCACAAATCATAAACAATTACTGGTTCAAATACTAATATACATATTTTTGATGTTAATACATATAAATTATGAAACATAAATACATTGTCAGTAACTCCATGAATGATTTATAGTCTTATCACATGTTGAATAAGGGGAGACTGCATGTACACTGAATGCTTGTAAACTAATTTATCTCACAGGAGTAGTGACAGTACTCGGTTTAATATACAGAAATACTTGTTAAGAAGCATACCAAAACAATATGGTGAGTTTAGTCCAAGATCATACCAGAAGGTCTGTCCTTCAGTTCTCTGAATCATAAGAAGAAACAGATTGTTTCAAACAGAAAATGAGGAATAACGTAATCTAACCAGTCTGCACTTTGGCAGAGTCGTTATAGGATGGCTGAGGTTTCTTGCCTGTTCTCAGCTACTGAAATTATTTAACACAATACTAAAGAACTGACCATTTAAATTGAGAATATGTTTTCTTGTGAAGCAATCATCTTGGTAGGTTCAGACAGGTCTTTGTCAATGGGTAGTTACATCATGCTCCTCAGGGTCAACCAGCAGGGTGAACCAGTTGGTTGCATCAGCTGTCACTTGGGAACTGTAGTATTTAATAGATGTAGGACAAAAATAGATACTTGCTTCCATCACAATTTTTATTTCTTCTCCTGAAGCCTTCTGTCCATGATTCTTGTTGAACTTTGAAGTCCATAAAGTTTTTTTCTGGGGCTTGGGAACTGTCACTTTACTTTTTAGAAATCTATTGATTTCTGTTTTGTGACTCCTGCGTGGTTTTTTGTGGGTTTTGGTTTTTTTTTTTTTTTTTCCTGAGGCAACAGGCTTAGCTTTTCTGCCTCTTTTAAGGCACTTTGGCTTATGTTCCTATTATCTAACCAAAGGTATCAACAGTATATTACTTCTTTTCTCTTTCTTACCCTGACTGCAGGCTTACTTTTTTTTTCACCTTTGCTTTATTTTGAAGGAGAATGAGCAAATACTCCCACAGAGTAACTATTACTTGTTATGCAGTGAATCATATATCGGTTGCATGTTACTGGCTTGTCCTGTTTTATCAATAGCATTACCTATGTAGGCTCAATTAGCCTATTTGGTTTTGGAATCATAAGCTATAAAGATTTCCCCTTCCCTAAACTAGTGTATTCTGTATAAATGAGAGCTATTTCAAACAGAACAGGCAAAAATACTTATATGAAATATAATGTTGCATAGCTCCTAAAAATAAAATAAAAGAATTATACATTGTTTGTCTAAATTTAAAAGTGTTTTAGAATGGAGAAATACCATTTTGCTATTTCAGTGAAGGGTAAAATGATGTATGTAGAAATAACATCTTAAAGATGATGTTTATTTTCAAAACAAATAATAGAACATTGATTAAAAACTATGTGCATCAGATATAGTATTCCTTATGTAGAAAAGTTGTTGAAATAGATATAAAATGTTGATGTTTTCATGGAGGAAAACGTGGCAGGTTTAGAAAGCTGGGATGCCAATACCACATCAGCAGCTATTTGCATACTATTGTCAGGGACAGCCATTCTGGAGACAATTCAGTGAATCAGAGCTGTTTGATTAATCAAATCAAGTCTCTGTTGTAGCAATGCAAAGAGGTTATGTCTGCTGGCAATCTGATTAGAAATCAAATGTTTATGGATTAATGAACACAAAACAATTGCTTCTAAGCCTCTTTTCAAGCAAAATCTTAGGTCTTTAGAAATGTGTCTAAGTAGGAAATGATTAGCCGGGTCTGACAGCACAAGGGAGAATTTATCCCCTCAAAATACACTCTTTATAATTAAAGAAAATCCAAGCAATTAAAAGCAGTCAAAACAAAGCAAAGCACAAAATCTGTAAGTTGTGTTATTTTATTAACATATGGAAATGTAAGCAAATTGCAATGATAGTTACATTACATTATAATTGAACAGTAAACTTAATAGAGCTATTTCATATTAAGTGAAGATCTGTCCAACAATCTGCCTTTTAAAGAGCAGTCCAGGCCTCATCTTTAGATGACCTCACACTTTAATGTGCAAGAAAGAAGCATTCTTTCTTTCTTAGCAGTTGTTGTTTGTTAGATTATCTTTGAAAACTGTGAACAATGTGCATATTATAAAAGGAAACGTGTAATCCATTTGAGTATAAAAGAAAGTTCTGCTTTTATCGGAATTGACTCAGAAATAATTCAGGTACAATTTTGTGTTCCCTTTGGTCTCTGTTACTCCAAGAAGTTCCTCTGCTTTGGTTTGATATTAAATTAGCAATATCTAAATGCCACCGTTGTCTGCTTCCACTGAGCTTAACAGTTAATTTTCCAAGCTAAAATAAAGAGATTCTTGCTTTCATATTTTATCCCATCCCCACGGTGCAGCAGACCAATAAGAAGCATATAGTTCTTACCGAGTTAAGAGAATAGAAACACTTCTCTGAAGAAAATTGCCTGGCTTTGACACACTGTAGAGAAAATCATCATTTAAAAATGGAAACAGCTGGAATGAATATCTTTCTCCTGTCAAAGGTGAACATTAAACTGCTCCCTGATTTGACTTTCCCTTTATTTGTTTGAAGATGATCATCATTACTTTACAATGCCTCTTCCACTTCCTAAGGTAACAGCAATAGCTTTACCTGCTTGTTTTTTGAAAACTCAGCTATGTGTAACATTTGATCCACAAGTAGTTGCACTGGCTTCTGTGCTCAACGTAACTGAATCTTAAATTCGTGGGGAATTAAATTTTTATCAGAACAGTTTAGAGTTAGCAAAAGACTTCAATTAAAATCCATGGGAATTTTACAATTGATATGAAGTGCTTTTGAAAAGCCTTCACTTTTGCCTCACGTTGTTCTCGTAAGAATCACTGAATTAAATCCTAAGGGTGTTGTCTGCTATTTTATTTGAAAGATGATTTAATCTAGAGGTTAGAATGTTTTAAATGGAAACAGTGATGACGGTAGTTAATCTGAAAAAAACTCTAAACAAACCAACACCAAAACAAAACCTGCAAGAGATCAGCCACACTGTCTTAAAACTTTTAACAGCTATGAATGTGGTATTTGTGCAAGGAAAACTATGAACTGGCCTCTTTGATCAAATTTCATACTGTGTCACCATCTCAAAGTCGTGATTCTCTAAGTGTATAATAGTGAATTGTATTTTTTAGCTGCTTGCTTTAGTTCTATTAATTTTGATTGGTTAGTTCTATTAATTTTAGTTGGTTGGCTGGTTTAGTTTTTTGAGTTATTGTGGTTGCATTAGTTTAATTGGGCCTAAAATAATTCAAGCAAGGAGCATATTCAGTCATCATGTTGTCTTGTGACTATGCATATGCATAGTAGATATGAAAACAGGTACATATATGTGCTTATATCTACAGGATTATATATACTTATTGAAGCATACTGAGGATTCTATCTTAAAGAAAAGACACGATGGTAGCCAAAGATACATTATTTATGTTGCCTAAAGAATATGCACTGGTATGTAGTTAATAGCTCAAGGAAGCAAGTTCAAAGTTACTTTTTTCTAAAGTAACTTTTAGAAAGACCAATATTATTTCTGTTATGACTAAACCAAAAGTACTTAACGTTTTCAAGTTGAGAAGTTAACCAAGTCCTCAGCCAGTACTGGACAATCACGTTGTTTAAGAAAACAAATGAGGATCTCATTTCATTAATTTCAAGACATATTTTGCAGGATAAAAACAGGTGCCAAAAGTTACAACTGGACATCTAGTGCAGTTTCAGTCCAAATCAATGTGAAGTTTCTCACAGAGACCTATGGCATATATACATCAAAGGTGAATATATTCTGTAGGTATGCCTTTACACAAAAGCGTGATAGAAGGCAGATGAGATGAACAGTTTATAACTTCCAGGCTCCTCCTTAGCAAGCAGTTCCTTGACTGTCTCCCTGCTGTTTATAGTCTAAATGAAAACTCAAACATGCAGGGATCTTAGAAAGGCATCACGTAGAATATGATAGGAGAGTTTCTAACTGGAAGAGACCATGAGGCACCTTCTTATTCCATTCGGGTTTATTTGCATTTTACTGTTTGTTTATTGATGTTAAAGTCTTCAGCATTGGAACTATATGAACCTTTGGTCCTGTGGGATCTGGACAGACATTTTCAAAATTTCAAGGAAACAGCATGCTGATACTGAGAGTGAGCTGTCAAGTACCACAAGTTCCATGTGTAGGTGTGTAGAACTGTTGCACTGTGCTAGAAGATAAATTCATTGCCGTCAGTATGGCTTGTACTGTTGGTCATGGCATGGTTGGATGCTGCATGTGCTGATGAGAAGGCCTGTCCTCAGCATCTCCTTAGAGAAAGTCTACATTTCAGTGTAGTTTGGGCTAATGTAGGCATCAGTGCAGACTTGTGTGACTTGTTTTTTGCTGTACATGGTATCTCCTGCTACTAGTATGAACTTTAAAGAGCTGCTAGGGTCAGATCCAAACCTTTTTTTTTTTCAGTCAGACTTCTCTGTCTGATATTGAATGTGTTTCATTGCTCAGCATGTGTTAAGGTCTCTTAAATAAAATTCATTGAGCCTTCTAGTTTTGTGTTAGAAATTACATTTTGCTAAGTGTTTTACTGTAAGAGTAACCTGCTGTTCTCAACGGCATTGCAAGGAGACATGGCTGATATTACTGTAGATTATTTCTAACTGTATTTTAAATGTTGAAATTATTATTACAGTGGAAAGGATAAGATCTTGCTGGATTTCTGAAGGATGAGATAGTAGTGAAAGTATAATACTTCCAAGTCAGATCTGAGAAGCAAAATGTTACAACTAAAAAATATGTGAGATACCTAAGAAGAGCATTATTTTAAATTTTATTCTATTTTGTGATTGATTGTGGAGCTTTCACAGTTTGTTTTGGGTTTTGTTTTTGTTTTTTAATTTATTTGCTTATTTATTTCCCTTTTTTTCAGAATTAAAATATCTAAATATTTAGTCAATTTATTCTTAATTAAAGATTATGGTTGCATATGTCACTAAATACAGACCTTAGTGCAACTAATGAACAAATAAACTTTTGTTTAAAGGCTTCACAGATAATCAATCACAAATCCTGGCTGGGAGCTTGTAGCTGTTACTTTTTCATGTCAGTAGAATTAAGCCAAGCTTTATAGGTTTAAATTAATCAAGCTGATGAAAGGCTGTTTTTTTTTAATTTGTTTGTTTTCCTAAAAAAGTGGATGAATTTGACTTCTGTCTATATGGGAAGAGAGGGACATACGTGATTAGAGATAGAAATCTGTGCATGTGCGTGCATGTGTGTATGAGAGAAAGAGAGCATCCAGACAGATAGATTACTTTGCAGTGTAAAAATGTTGAATTAAAAAGAGAAATGCTGGTGTTTATAGAGAATCTTGTATTTGACGAGAGCAGCCCTGGAAAAGAACTCTCCCAGTAATCTCTGTTTAACTGACTCAAGTGGAAGAAAGCCAAGTTGTTCAGTTGCACAATGGGTTGCAATCATGTGGGAGAGTTCCCAGTTGGAAGTTGAAAACTGAAAACCTGACATGCATAAGTGAATGAAGCTACCCTGTGTGATGTGTTGATTTAAGATTTTTCTCTCCCTCCTTAAAAATAGAACGGGGCTCCCCCCTTTGTCTGGGTACTGAAGAGGCAATACTGTGAGACACAAAATTAGTTTAAAATTGACATTTTGGACATTGGTGATAATTTGTCCTGACATTATGGCTACTGTTTGTTTTTGTGACAAGCAGCCTTGATCCAAGTGGGCATGGTTAGAGCCAAATTTAATAGACAACCATTGTAATTTTCTGCCTTGCAGACAGCAGAGACTTTCTAATGTTCCTTCACCACAACAATAAGGGATTACTGAATAACAAGTCCACAGGATTGGGGGAGGATTGAAAGGATTAATGGAGTATGACAAAATTGCACCTGAGGGGGAGAATCTTTAGCAGTTTCTGTATCCTAATGTTGTGGTACATCAGGCAAATTGGCAATTGCTACTGATCTTTACACATACATGTCTTCAAATAAAGTGGGTGAAAGTCAAGCAGATGCAGCTATGTAGCTAAGGCTGTCATAAACATTTATGTTATCAACTGCAAAAATCATTTAATACTATCTTTTTAAGTGTTTTGATGATCAACTATATTAAACATCAGTGGATTGTAGGCACTGTACTCTAAATCATTTTTTACTCCACTATAACCTCTTATCCTACTAAACTAAATCCTAAAAAAGATTAAAAATGTAGGGTTAGTCCAACCCTTCTCTCCAAAGATAATTAAGGAATACAGTTCCTGTTTAGGAAGAGTATTTTCAGCTTTAGAACTCAGCAGTTCCCCCCCCCCCAACCAGAAAACAAACATATAAAAATTGTTTTGTAGTCGCATTCATGTGGTGACCTAATGGTAACAACCCCCTCTATCCTTCTGATAAAAATCCATTTCAACACAACAATAGCAATCTTAGCCCCAAGTTCTTACCAAGTATTAATTTTTTTTAATGAACTGTTTAGCACTATGAAACATCAGCAGTTTGAAACATCAGAAGTTTGTTAGTAGATGCTTGATTTCTTTTCATACTGGTTTAAACCAAGAATCCCAATACTAGTGGCAGTGGATTTACAGGAAATTGAAATAAGGAGCAATAAGAGCAATAAGGGCATTATTCATCTTTACTTTTAAAACTATAACTTTTCTTTGAAAAGGAACTTAATATATATAGTAAACATTGCTCATTACCTCTCTAAGAAAAATATAAACTTGGCAGCATTTTTTGGACTTAAGTTGAAGTTTTAGCTTTATGTTATGTTCCTAACAACTGAACTAGCCTTTACATCATACTAGTTTTCCTTTCCTCTCAGTTTGGTATAAACAGACATTAGGGAAAATAGAAACTGGTGCAAATAGGTAAACATATACCTATGTAGGTCTACAAAAGAAAGACTAAATTAAAGAAGAGAAATCACACAAATACAGTTGCTATGTGAGGTCATCTCATGTATTGTGAATTGTTTAAGGAAATGTTTCTTCAGCAGCACTGACTGAAGGTCATGTTGTTATTTGGACTTTTGACTAGTGGAACAGCAAACGATTCATTAATTCCATTAGCCATCCTTTCTGCACACTGGGAAAAGCAAATGTAATCTGTCAACTATTCCTACTGTATACTTAAGCTGTCAAGGATCCTGGAAGGCTTCAGTTATCCTCTTTGAAGATATCAAAGGAAGGGGTGGACTATTTTGTGTCTTTAAAGAGAAATAGAGAAAAAATGTGCCACATAATGTAAGCTAAAAGATTTTTTTTTAACCTAAAGTGACACTCTAATACAGAAGCACAGGGCAGGTTTCTGACTGGTAAAGCTTCTGGGTTTTTTTGGTTTTGTTTTTGGGGTATTGTTTGTTTGTGGTGGTGGTGGTGTTGTTTGGAGTTGTTTTTTTTGGGGGGGGTTTGGTTTTGTTTTGGGGTGGTTTTTTGTTTTGTTTTGTTGGGGTTTTTTGGTGTGGTTTTGTTTGTTTGGTTTTTTTGTATTTGTTTTGTGTGTGTGTGTGTGTGTGTGTGTGTGGTTTATTTTTTTTTTTAAGAAGTCTTAAAAGTACAGGCTGTCAGCATGCCATTAAACCTGTCTTGTCTCCAGGAGCCATGCCAGGGACTTCTCATTTCCCTTCCTTTCAGGCTCCTGCAGCAGTTCATAGGTCTCACCCTGCGTGCTGCTGCATGTGGTGGACAGGCGAGTGTAGCATGACTGAAGTCAGTGGGCACACTGCGCTCCTAGCATTGTATATTAGGCAAAATTGTGATGCATATTTTTATAGCTCTTCACCGTGAAGTTTCTGGTGGGTTAGTGGACAGCAAAAGTAAAAAACATCACGTGGATCTGCAAAATTATTAGTATTTCTTCCTGCTGTTAACATGGATGACAGCTGAAAGCCTAGTACTGCATTTAAAATGAAAAAGCGAAGAGGGGTTCCAGGATTAGTAGCCCAGCCAAAAGTGGATTGCATCTGAATTGCAGTGTCTGTCCCTGAAGTGATTACTGCTATGGGTAGTGTTTTGCAGACAGACAGTAGTTTTTCTCCATAGAAGAGACAGTTATATTGAAAAGGCAGTGAGACTCTTTGATGTAAGACATTTCATTTTAACTATGCTGAAAAAACAGTAAGTAAATCCATGTAGGGTGGATTTTTGCAAATCTGTGTAGGAATGGATTTTTGTCCACCTGACCCATGTGCTGAAAAGAAATAATGTGCTCTCTTCTGCAGATCTCAATGTCCCAGACATCCTTGGTGGTGGTTAAAAATCCACCGTCGGTTATTACATGTTTCAGCATATTCCTTTTATTTCAGCAATAATGAATGCAAAGCTGTCTTGTCCTTTGCAAATGCTTTGAGCTGTTCAGATAACACATTGCAGAGTGGTTGGACACAAATCACATAACCCTACTGTGCTCTGTTTGAAAGGAAAGTACAACTTTTAATTCATTATTGGCTAACTAATTTTCTAGTATGCTTTTCCCACAGTTTTGAGTGACAGTCCCACACTCCCAATACATGGTTTCTTTAATTGCAGTGCTAAAATTTGACTTTCTCTTTAAAGATGTAATTTTACGTCCTGATGGTAAAATATTTAGTAGTTTACTGCTCACTCTTCTATCCTGAAAAGGAAACACATTTTTCATACTTCTTAAGGCATAACTTTGTCACTGTGTGATGATTTTCCTCTAAAATATGAAAAACTGTAGAAAAGGAGATCCATCTGTTGGGAAAGTTTCTCTCTGTGTATGATATGATGTAATGAGTAATCATAAATGTAAAACACTTGATGTGACGATTTCCTATATAATGATTATGCAGTAGTTAGTAGCCACAGTATACTATATTACTCTTGTTACGTATTTTGGAGGTGGACGCTATGGATTCATAATACAGTTGAACTTGTATAAGTAGTGTCAGTCCATCTGAGGGAGACTCTTCCCCCAGGTTGAGAATTATGAATTTACAGTGTTGATTTTTTGAACCTTATGAGCCACTACAGAGTGGAAAATACTTAAGGATAGCAGTGTATGTACTTCTGTATGTTACTGAGTGTTAAAATAAACAATCAGTTGATTGTTAAATAAACTAATATATATATATACAATGCATTATATTTATGCAAAAAATAGCTGCAAAAATCAGGTGAAGTGTTTCACTTTTATTGTAGTAATAGGCACCATTGCTATGTATTTATCTATGCATAGTTTAGGAGAGAAGAAGATGCTGTTGATGATTCTGTAATATTTCCTTCATTGTAGTGGCTATGGAATTGAATTCACTGATATGTATAGTAATGAATCTTTAAAACTATCCTTTATAATCAGTGTTGAACAGTGCAAACAAACAGGTGTCCTTTAAAAAATGGGCTTTTGTACACTTTGAGTAAAGAACTACCTAAAAAAGGTATAAAGTAGTTGTACGTTCAAAATGTATTAAATTCCATTTTTCCTTTGCTATATTTTGTAAAACATTTTCATTGTAAACAGTATGCCTCTCACACATGTCAAATCAAAGCTCTTTATTTTAGAAATATATACCTAATGTATAGAAGCTTATTGCACTCTCATGCAATGTATATATTGTGACTTCAAAAAGTCTGTACTGAACTTTGCTTAAACTACTAGTATGTGGATTTCTTTCAAATTTATTTTTAATTAATGATATTAAGGATAAGATCCTTTCTAAATGTACTTTAAAATTCACAATAAAGTTTCAGAAGTTGTTTTGTACAATGTTGAGGCTTTGTGTTGAATTTTCTTGTTCAAATCTTTTTAAACTGTTACCTTGGCTAAGTTCCACATTCCTCAAATATGTGTAAATCTGTGTTTAAGATAATCATGATTTAAATCAGGTGTGCCATATCACAAAATACTTCATTCCATTTATTTCAGAGGTATGTTCATTAAATTAGGGATTGCTACTCCACTGAATACAATGTCTCCTGGCACTTCTGTAATATCTGTCGGAGATACAGTCTGGGTTCTAGAAACTCTCTATATTGGACTTCAAGGGTGAGAGAAAATGTATACTGTATTTTGTGTATGTTCTATGGCTCCTAATTGAAACAAAAATAAATATGACAATGTTGGAGAAAAATGCAGTTGGTAGAGCACACAGTCAAGTCTATTGAAAACTTTAATTTTTATTCTCCACATCTTTGTTTTTAAAGTTATTTTATTGGATGATTCAGCAGTTGCTGAGGTTGGTGGCATCAATGGGGAATTTGCCTGAGTAAAGAAGTAATTGAGGTCTGTAAAGCTTGGAATAACAATTGCTTTTTCGTGTCTGACCTTCCCCATCTGGAAAAAAAAGTGACAATTGTTTTCCTCAGATATAGAAGTTTCTATTTAACTATATGTTTAGCAATGACTGAAATGGTTAAGCAAGAGGATAGAATATTTTTTTCTTTTGAGGACAAAATAGTCTTATTCCTCATGAAATTTAATACTGTTTAGCTGTTTACTTAGCCAAAAGAGGACTAGGTTTCTAATTTTATGGATGAAATCTTTAAAAAAAATAGCATTGCCACTGTGAAAATGTCTAGTGGCACAGTTTTAGATAATTTTTGTACCTGTTTGACAACCCCATATGGCATACCTGTATTATCATGAGATAGTAATTTTTCAAGATGCTTTCACTGGCACTGCACATCTCCATATCTGAAAACATATATAGTTTGATAGTTTCCATTCAGAAATCCCAATATAGCTCCTTAACTATGGTTAGCTAGAGTTTTGCACATTAAAAATGTAATTCTGATGTCAAGTAAATCTGATTTGAGAATGAGCAAGAATGTATATGTCTTTCAAAATCCCCTATTTAACTTGTCTGTTTAAATAGGTAAAACTTCTAGAAATTATTTCCCACTGCAAAGCTTCAACTAAGGTCCAAGGCAAAATTAGAACTAATTATCTTAATGGCAGATAATACTCAGCTGAATACTTTACTTACAAAATGCCTTAACTTTAATGGTGCTATTCCTACAGAAAATCAGATCTTTCTTTTTGAATTACTCCTTCTTAAAAGACTGAAGAACAGTTTTTAATTTTCTGTGAAAAGAATCTGAAATTCAGGCTCTAAAGAGAACCCTCAGATCTCTACAGAGAGATATTTCCACCATACTTAACTATTTTTTAACAGTCTTTAATAACGTTTATCTCATTAAAGATCTGCTATAGGGCTAACTCGACACTCAATTATGGTGAAGCACTGATACTCCAAATGAGAACCATTTTCACTTTTAATTCTGGAAATCGAATGGATGTTCAAATATTCGCATGTGAGGAAACACTGATGACCAAAAGGAGGTAGGATCATGCACTTTTCTTGCAAATACAGCCAGAGAGCAGAAATAGGGCACCAACATTATTGCACAACAGAATAAACAAAACACTGTCATCAGGAATGAAAGTTGGCGCATTGCCTGTTGATGGGTTTGATGCTACTCGTCGCCTGCTTGGCTTGCTGATGTTTTGAGACCCATAATTGTCTCTTGATGTATGGCTTTGTGTCTTTTTGCTAAGGTTCACATCTTCGCCTTTTCGTTATGAATTATGAATCATTTTTATTGCAATATTACTGCCAAAGTTAAGTTATTAGCCTAATTTGGAACCTGATTGTCTAACCCAGGCTCATATTAGCTGGCAGCTAAATCTGCGAGGGGCCCTGTTAGTTTCAGTGTTGCACAGTGCATTTGTAAGTGCTCATTGGCATGCCAGGGGTTGTGTCATCCAGTGCTGAAAAGGTGAATTCCCTTCTGCAGAATCAGACTTTAGCTGAGGTTGAGGACTCCTGTGTTCATTTTTTAAATGATCTGATCTCAGGGACAGAAAAATGATCCCTTGGGTCCGTAAGCTGAAGTCCCTTCCTGAGTTTCAGTTAGTAAAGTTTTACAGTACTTCAATATCTTGGTAAAATGGTGGTAGAAAGAAAAGTTGTTGTCACATTAATTTGCCTCAAGTAGGGCAGAGTTCCTTTATAAGGGGTTTTTAAGAGATGTACATGAGACTGATGAGCTCCAGTTCCTAGGCCATTTAGTCAATACTAAATACAATACATCAACATACATTTTTTTTTAGCTTAGTAAAAGTCAGATTATGGCCGAAATGAACTAAAAAATCATTCTTGATAGCCATCATCAAAGGAAAAAAAGACAATCAGTTTATTATGGACCCAGGGGGATAATTTAATTTAGTTTTTGAACACAGATAAACTCAAAAACAATACCCTAGAGAATGAGCTCTAAATTAAATCTCATTTTGATAATTTGAACATTTGAATATTACATTTTTTTTTTAGGTTTTGAAGGCTTTTGTATATCAAGTGATACCAACAATCCATGAAGTTAGATGTTAAAAGGCATCCAACAGTCTGACTCAGTCAATTATTTCTATATGTGTGAATTTATTTCCATTTTATTTTCTTAATAGGAGAAATTATTTTGATGATGAAGTTTCAGGAAGTGCTCTAGTATCTTTGCAGCTTCCTTAAAGAAAGAATTTTCCAACAGCCAGTGTTTAAATATCTGATAAGAGCCTTCTTCATAGGAAAAGGAGTAAAAGGATTTGGTCTTTGAAAAAGGCCTCCCCTAGATTTTTGATGGGGAGCAGATTTGCTGTAGGTACTTGTTCGATTTTATTCTTGCATATTCACTCTGCATTTATTACAAAATGTTTTCTTGTTTGCAACATGAAGCAGGATCTTGTCACAGCACTGCAAAGGAAAAATATGTAGTGGGCTTGGCATGCCCTGACAATATGCTTTCATTAAAACTTTAAAATGTAAATGTATGGAGAAATACGTGTCATATCCCATCACAGAGCTTCACAGCTATTGCTTTCATTACCACTAGTATGTGGCAGAGTTGCTCTTCTTTTTATAGTTTGTTTGCTTTGTAAATGTAACTATATACAGCAAGTTATATTTGGGAGTGAATGTTTTGCGAACCTCAGCTAATCAATAGGAGTTGGTTCCAGCTCCATTAGATCATTAGCAGTTCAAATTAGTAACTAGTGAATATCATATTTTTAACTGCAGTTTTTCTCCCCCACCCGAGTTCTTTCTCAAACTTCTTTGCAGCACTGTTTTCAGGTCACTACTCTGTCTTCGCAAAAGGAGTGAATGGATTAGAATTCAGGTAGAGGAGAAATGTTAAATGGAAGTTACTCAATACTGCTTTCACTATGGCCAGAAATATGTTAATTAAAAACCGTGGAGAGCATAATCTTTTCTGAATCCAAATGGCTATGACAGTTCCTACAGTTGGGAGGTATGGGGCATGCTTTAATGAGTTACAAAGCTATTTAGATGGATCAGAAAATACAGTGTAGAAAGATTATACAAGTGAGTCCAATTCCAGAAGTATCATATCATCCCTCCTTTTGCCTTCAGTTTTTTATTTCAATGTTAAATACTTGAAACACAATCTATAATTTGGAACATATGTTAAATGCAAAAATAAGAGCTCATTTTGCTGTCAAAAACATTACTGATAGTACATAGCAATATGCCTGACAATAGCATTGTCAGTGGTTTGGAAAGCTTTTTCTGCTCCAGCTTCTTCAAACTAACCTTTCCAAGGGTGTGTTCAGAGATCACAGCGACAAGCTTCATTTCATGCCAGAAAAATCATAAATTCCTTGGTAAGAGTGGGTAACCACAGAACCCAGTTGGAAAACCTATCCTAGGCTATTTTTTCTTTTCAGACAGGAATGTCACTGCTCTGTCCTTCATGGGAGATAGTGGTGGAAGATGTTGGGAGTTGTGTGTGCTGCAATGACAGGACTAGGAGACACCGTTTTACAACTGGTACTCTTGGTATTTATTTCCAAGTGTGCTTTTAAACTATGGTTGTAATACAATTATTTCTGCCATTGATATTCCTGTTCTTATAGAAGTCTCTGACAGGAGACTTACATCTCTATGGTGATATACCTTCTTACCGCAGCGTATGCAGTAATAAAGCATCAATAGTGCTAAGTCTTCATGCTGCTTTGTGTTTTTATGCTTTATTTTAAAAAGTATTTTGACGTGGATTTTTTGTGGCTTTGTTTAGCTGTGGGTTTCTTTTGGGGTTTTTTGTCTTCTCTTACTCTGGCCCAGTCTTTCCAGACTTCCAAAATTATTGATTCCCCCCCTCCCCTCCCATTAATATTCTTTCTTAGATAGTTTCTTTTGCTGATATAGCTCTTTTTCAGGATGACAGAGTATTATCTTGTTGGAGGCAAATGTTGACATCACTTAGAGTTATACCTTTAGTAATGGAAACAGTATATTACTGTTCTGATCCAAATCACTTTACAAATACCATTGTAAACATCTTTGCTATAGACCATGACAAGAAATTAGGTAGTCTGTCTTTGTAAGTGTGACAAGAATGTCAAGCTACAGTAGAAATAAATGGGAAATCAGCATCATTTAAGAGAAAAACTTATTTACTGTCATATCCAAAAACAGCTGGTTGCCAAAAGCAAATGTTTCGCTTAAGCAAAGGCTTGAGCCTTATTTAAACAGACCTATTTAAGGTCTTTAAGAAATAAAAAAGAGAGAAAATTAAAAAATTATGTAATTATCAATAAAGATACAAACTACACTGAGAAAAGTAATTTCAAAAACTCCTTTAAACATTTTCTCTAAAGAACTAGTGATACAAAATGCTATGTAAGAGGAATAGTTTCAGAGAAATAAGTGCTGTCCTCTAGTATTGTCAACCGCTTGCTTCTGCAATTATCTT